GCCCTAAATATAAAATAAGCAAACTAAATGAAAGAAATAATTACACCAAATAAAACTGGGGTAACTTATTTTTATTCCTAAATAATTAAAGTAAAAGCTTGAGTCTTTTTCAAGACCCTGATTTTCCTAAATATTCAAAATAAGTAGCTATAATTAAGATTCATCACACATAATCGTTTCCAACTTATTTCATGAATACATTATCTATTGCAACGAACCCCTTTTACCCTCAATCTTTACCAGTTGAAGTTTCACAATCATCTTTTTAAATCAATACTTTTAGCAAACAAATGTTTGCAGGTCCAGGGTACCCATGTTTGACATGCTTTGATCCATTAAATGTTTTAGTCTCAATATATTTTGGATGTTTAAGTCATTTTGATTTGGCATGTGCTCTGAAGGTAGTAGCATTCCAAGAGCCCTGACACTGCATGCTAAGTGCTGTTCTCTCACTCCCAGCCAGAGCTCAGATGTTGGCTCAAATGAAATGATTTTATTTCCAACCTCTGTATACTAAAATTACTAATAGATAGCCTAAACATAAAGCTTCCAGGGTTTTCCTCTTAAAACACAATAAAAACGCAATCGAACATTGCTATAATACAATCTTTGAAATTGAAATTTTAAAATAGTCTGTCACAATAAAATGAGTGGTTTGTGACATTCAGTAATAGCTGAGAAAGCTAAAAAAATGGATAGTCATTGCTGGGGCATTTCACATTTTTCTACTTTTATGTTATAAAGGAAGTTTCTTAGGTTGGGTCCTCCCCATTGTAGATCCTGAGGAAAAGATGTGAGAGCAAGTAGTTATTTGGGAGGGGATGCCAAGTAGTACAAACAGAGAAGTGAAGTGAGGCAGGGAAGGGAAGGAACTAATATAGTGTGCAGGCTCAGGCGGGTATTGGCTGGGATCTAGGACACAACCACATTAGAGTACATAGAGACAAAAATGTTGAACACACCTCAGAGTTGCCCCTCTCAAGATGAAGGAGCTGAGGTATCATTTACTAACTCCCATCTGTATTTGGTTGGTAGTTATTCCTGGGGAAATAGTCCAGGGCTTTTAAATATACACATTTTTATTGTTTTCAGAGAAAAGAGGAAGAGAGAGAAGCATCAATGAGAATCATTGATGGGCTGCTTCCTGCATGCCCACAACCTGGGCACATGACCTGACTGGGAATTAAACTGATCTCCTGGTTCATAGGTTGACACTCAACCACTGAGACATACCAGCTGGGTGCCAGGAATGAGAGATTGGTATTAGAGGACAAACTAGCACTCTTTTCCTTAAGGTCCTATTATGCAACGTGTTTTTACTTCCACATTATCCCTCAGCAAAAAATAATTAACTTAGCCGGGACCGGTTTGGCTCAATGGATAGAGCGTCGGCTTGGGGACTGAGGGGACCAGGGTTCGATTCCGGTCAAAGGCATGTACCTTGGTTGCGGGCATATCCCCAGTAGGGGCTGTGCAAGAGGCAGCTGATTGATGACACTCTCTCATTGATGTTTCTAACTATCTCTCTCCCTTCCTCTCTGTACAAAATCAATAAAATATATTAAAAAAATAATTTATATTCATGTCCTAACAAAGTCACTCATTTTATGGGGCAATCTCAAATGCATTATTTTGTGCAAAAAAGTAGTGTGTGTGTACGGGTGGTGGTGGTAATAAAGACATTGAATCTGAAGTAACCACAATGCTGCAGTACATATTTATAGAGCTCCCTGAGACAATTAAAATAAAAAAGCAAAGGAAGAGTATCACTCCCCATTATTTACAGTAGGCAGTGCACAGTGATCTTCCAAAAGAAGGGAAAGAGTAATTTGACATTGGAGAAATCTGAGAAACATTATTTCTGCCATGTGGTCAATGTCAATCATCATGACATTGATAATAGGTGACCTTGACATGATCACTTTACTTTTGTGATCTTCCTCCCAAAATCCAATGCAAAAAAACCAGATTAATTGTAATAGAGGGGCATCTTCCAAAGTATTTGATCAGTAGTCCTCAAAATCATTAAGTCATCAAAAGCATTACTGGAACTGTTGTATTTTAATCCTCATTCTAGATTTGTCTTGATAGGTCCTTGTGTTCAAAGAATTTTAATTTTAGTTCTCAAATTTAGGTCTTTGTTCCATTTTATTAAATTATTTTGTATACAGTATGAAATAAAGGTCCAGCCTTGTTCTTTTACATGTTGATATACAATTTTCACAGCAGCATTTTTTGAAGGAATTATTCTTTCCCCATGGAATGGTCTTGGGCACTATGGTCAAAAATCAATTGTCCATAGAAAGGGAGTGGACTGATAATTATCAGGGGGAAAGGGATGTGGGGGATGCAGGAAGAGACTGGATTAAAATTGTACACCTATGGATAAGGACAATGGGGGGGGGGGGGGGGAAGGTAAGGCCAGAGGGTGGGGTGGGAACCGATGGTAGGGAGTTATGGGGGGGAAAAAGGAGAAACAATTGTAATAATCTGAGCAATAAAGATTAAAAAAAAAATCAATTGCCCATAGATATATGGATTTATTTCTGGACTCTCAAGTCTATTCCATTGATCTATTATATCTGTCCTTATGACAATACCTTATGTTTTATTAATGTAACTTTTTTATTAACGTGCATTTTGGAATATGGAAGGAAGTGTGAATCCAATTTTCTATATTGCTTCAGCTATTCAAAGTCCCTTGCAATTCCATTATTAACTGAACATTGACTTCCCTATTTCTGCAAAAAAAGTACATTAAAAGAAAAAAAATATATATATTTTATTGATTTTTTACAGAGAGGAAGAGAGATAGAGTTAGAAACATCGATGAGAGAGTCATCGATTAGCTGCCTCTTGCATACCCCATACTGGGGATATGCCCACAACCAAGGTACATGCCCTTGACTGGAATTGAACCTGGGACCTTTGGGTCTGCAGGCCAATGCTCTATCCACTGAACCAAACCGGTTTCAGCTACATTGAGATTTTAATAGGCATTGCACTAAATTTGTAGATATCTTTTGGGAATATGGCTATTTTAATAACATTAAGTCTTCCAATCCATGAATACATCCATTTGTTTGGGTATTTAATTTCTTTCAGCAACATTCCTGCACCTCCTTGGCTAAATTTATTTGTAGGTGTTTTATTGTCTTAGATGATACTGTAAATAGCACTGTTTTCTTAACTTCCTTTTTGTATTGTTCATTGCTAAGGTTTAGAAATAAAACTGATTTTTATCTATTGATCTTCATTCCTGTCACTTTGCTGAATTCATTTATTAGCTTTAACATTTTTGTAGACTCTTTATAAGATCATGTCATCTGTGAGTAGTTTTACTTCTTTTCCCATTTGGATGTCTTCTTTCTTTTTCTTGTCTAATTACTATAGACTGTACTTTTAAAAAATATATATATATTGTATTGATTTTTTACAGAGAGGAAGAGAGAGGGATAGAGAGTTAGAAACATGATGAGAGAGAACCATCGATCAGCCGCCTCTTGCACACCTCCTACTGGGGATGTGCCCACAACCAAGGTACATGCCCTTGACCGGAATCAAACCTGGGACCTTTCAGTTCGCAGGCTGACGCTCTATCCACTGAGCCAAACCGGTTTTGGCAAGACTGACTGTACTTTTAAGTAACAAATGAGAAAGAAGCATTACAGGCTTGCTATTTCAGTATGGTTTTGAAAATCTAGGAATGTAGACCTATTACTTCCCATGTCTGTAGACAGTATGTCTGAAAAGGACAGGAAGCTCATCAGTCTTTGCAGCCTAAAAACCTATACCATATAAACATTCCAATGTCAACATTATAAATTATAAGCAGTAATAAAACAAAATTTTGTACCTATTTTGCACTGAATTATCTTTAGAACAATTTAAAATGATGAATAGAAACAAATTTGAGAAATAATTTTTACATTTAATATTTATTACAGAAATTATACATACAAAATGATATCCTAGTTATAAAAGATGCATTTGGAATAAATTATAATAAATTTCAATAAAAATAAGAATGTATGTGTATATGTGCATGAACCCAGAAATATGCACATATTCAGATGTTTATAGTAATGGCATTGCTTTATGCATTACTAAGATATTATCTTTTAATTAAGGTATCTGAATTACTGGGTTTTTAAATGCTTTAAATACAATATCCAGGTAAATCAACGAAAGGCAGCTCAACGAAAGGAAACTATTAGAATCCAGAATATCTCATTTGAGATCATTATCCCCTAACTCCTTTAGAAAGTTTCCAACAGAAGCTATTTGACAAATATTAGAATGGTTCCTAAAAAAAAAAAAAAAAAGAAAAGAAAAAGAATGTGCATGGTGGTGAATGGTTTTATTCCTTTAAGAAAAAAAATATATTTTTGGTATCATTATTACAAAATTTATATTTATATAATTGCATATAAAAGATATCTATAGAATATAACCTAAACACAAATTTAGAAGGTATAAACATTTTTCAAATATAAAGACTTTGTGCTATTAAAAAGCTGTTCAACAGTTGAACACTGGCTTTTATGTGAATGAGCAGGGCAAGCTAAAGGTAGATGAGAGATGGATACTGAAGACAACAAAAGGATGGCAAAGATACAACGGCTAAGTTTCTAGTCTGATGCAATAAACTACTGCAGGACAGCTAAAATTAAAAGTGCTTAAAAAAAAAGTATCAATGTCACTAATTACTCTTCAATGCCATAAAACATTAGCTATTTTTATATTGAGTTGTCCATATTTCAACTACTGATATGCCACAGCATTACTATTACTATGTGCCTTGATCCATCCAATTCCCAGTATTTTATCTTTGTAATTTATCTTACACATGTACATAGATACTAAAAGTTTAAATATTTTTATTTACTATTTTAATATTTTTCTTAACGATGCAAGATTTCACCTTGCATCAGTTATGTGAACATGACAGAGGAGAACTAAATAAAAACAGAATATAAAGAATATGTGATACCATGACATCAGGATCTGGAACAAATGAAGTTTTCTACCTCTTGCTCCATTTTCTAGATAAAGGGTAGAAAGAAAAAGTAGTAAGTTTCAATGTGGAAACACTAAAGAAATATTATTCTATTGCTTTTTCCCTCCCAGTAAATTCCCTTAAGAATTTATTACCCATGAATATATCTGATATTGAAAACAAAAATTTAGTTCAGTATTTAAGACTATCATATAAACTGAGATCACTGATGGGACTTCGTTATTTAAATCCTTTTCAAATGAGTCTGAGATGTGATCATCTTACGTTAAATTCAAATAGTTACAATCAAGACACTGATGTACCTATTTACAGGTACTAGTATCACATATATGATAACATGTAGGTACCATAGTATATTTTATTAGGTATATATTTGGTATCAGTAATATTTATATTATGCTATATAGCTATCATCTAGTATCTTTTTATTAAGTATACTAAATACTACATATACTAAATACTACATATATTAGTAGGTATATATTTGGTATCAGTAATATTTATATTATACTATATAGGTATCATCCAGTATCTTTTTTTAATTTCCTCTTTTCCAGGAAATTTCCAGTTCTAACTATTTTTAAAAGTTAGAACTCTAATGCCCACTGTAAAGCAAGATCAAGAAAAATAGGTATATCTTAAAAAGAAGCTACATATCTTCATTAATACATACAGAAAATAAAGGTTTCCCCATAATTTGCTGATATTATAGTTCCATTGTTTGCATATATTAAATAATGGTCTTTAAAGATTTTTATAAAATAAGTTAATTTCTTATATATATTAGTTTACCTGAATAAGTGTTGTTTTGTCATAGTCCCTGCGATGCTGATAAATACACTGGCTGATTACTGCATATAAATTTTCCAACTGAAAAAGATTGTATTTCTGGCTCTTTTTAACAACAGTTTTCAAAAGATTCTAAAAGAAAATATAAGTGTTTACATGTGAGAGAAAATCCTCTGAGATGTTTTATAATAATTTAGAACACTGGGGAAATTTTTAGCATATAAACCAGAGCGAGGACAGACCACGTCACCTGATGTGACATGGCAGCTCTGATGATGGCGCTGTAATTTGGTTGTAGTTAACTTTTATCATCATTCTCTGATCCTAGTCTCTGCCCTTGGTAACTTACATCCTAAAAACTATAGCTGAGGAGATTGCCAATTTCAATTCTAGTCCTAAATCTCTACAGATGAACTAGATTAATAGGGGAAAAAAAGCACCATTTTTGAAGGGTATTTTATTACACTATCAGTATATAGTAATTAATTTCATTATGTGAAATAAAAGAGAAAGAACTTCATAAATGATGAATTACCTCACCACTTTACAATTATTTTTCTTATAAAAAGGATTTTCCATTTGCTTAGTGTTTTTTTCTCATGACTGAAATGGTCATTGGATTTCTGATTCTTCAAGTCTGGCCCTAGTAGGATATGTCATTACCTCAAAAAACATGCCATTATGGCTAAGTAAAAACTAACTAAAATAGTCATAGGTAACAGTCATAAAAACAATTTGTGGAATAAGTAATGTAGTCAAGTCTGTTAAAACTATAATATCAACATACTAGCCACCTTCAACCACCACATTTATAAAAGTTATCCTATGCCAAACTTATGCTTTCATAAAAGATCATTATTTATTACATACTGAATTGATACAAAATATTATTACAGTTCTCTTTTGGTGTGTTATGTTACTAATATACATAATGACAGCATTACAATTTCAATTTACATACTTTTAATCGCTCGTGGTCCACAACAAGGGAGGGTGTAGGCTGTGAAAGAATTGCCAAAGCCTTTTCAGCACTGATGAGCTGCTGTTGCTCTATTTGGGAATGTCTAGCTCGAGTCATTTGCAGAACCCACCTTTCTAGAAGGAGTGATTAAATAACATTACTATTTGGTAAACACATTTTATAATGCCTAAAGTAAATAAATATTAGATTAAATTGCAGGACATATTTATTAAGACACAAATACCAATTCTGGTATACTAATTCTGCTGTAAGATTAAAATGATCCCACTTACACACAAAAAAATTAAGGACATTTCTCAAATTGAGTATTTTAGGGGGATCCTCAACTGTTTTCTACTTAGGCATAACACTCACAAAATTTAAGAGTTGGAAGGAACCTCAGTAATCGAGAATAGGAGTTGCAAACGACCACCCACAAACAAAATCTGGCCTAGCATTATAAATAAAGTTTTATTAGAACACAACCACTCCCATTTTACATATGCTTGTCAGTGTGGCTTTCCTGGCAGTTTGAGTGTTGTGACAGATACTGTGTGGCTAAATATTTCGTATATGGCACTATACAAAAAAGGTTTGCAAATCCCTAATCTAGGGCAATCTATTCACTGATTGATTAAAAAAACAAGGCCACGGAGCGGCCGGGCCCGGAGCAGCCGGGCCCAGAGCAGCCGGGTCGGGTGCGGCCAGGCCTGGAGCAGCAGCAGCCAAGTCCAGAGCAACTAGGTCGGGAGCAGCAGTGACCAGACCCGGAGCAGCTGGTTGTGGAATGAACCAGAGCAACAGAGGCCAGGCCCGGAGCAGCCAGGCCCAGAACAGCTCGCTCCTCACCTGCCCCTGCCCCACGGCTGCCTCTCAGTCATGTCTGGAAACTTTTGCGGGAACTTGAGGGTCTGTTGAATCAAGTGATGAAGGCTTAGATCTGGATGTGTTGAGTTAGTATAGGGCTGGGGTGTTGATCTGTGAGTGCCTTGGGTGGGGCCTGGATGAGGCTAGTTGACCTATTTGGAAATGTCTTTTGTGTGAAGTGTATCATTTGGTATGTGGAGGTATTATTGATATGAGAAAATGCTAAGTAACTGATTTACTATCTGAAAAGGGATTTACTATTGGGGAAAGGGAGGGAGGAAGAGACTGAACATAAACTGTGCACCTATGGATGAGTACAATGGGGGATGGGGAGGGGGCAGAGGGTGGGGTGGGAACCTGGTGGAGGGGGGAAGAAATGAGGAACCTTTGTAATAATATGAACAATAAAGATTGATTTAAAAAAAAAAAAAATAAATAAAAAACAAGGCCAAGAAAGGTGAACATATCTGTTATAAGAACCCAAATCTCTTAATAAGTAAACAAGTACATGTCCCACTAAATAGTGTCCTTTTAAAGACGATAATAATAAAAGAAAAATAAAGCAATTCTGAACCCAAATAAAACATACTAAATTATATAGTCAGAAGATTAACATTTAAAGTATCTATACTGGAAAGGCTGTATTCTAGTCCCTTCTGCTATGATTACTCAAACACACTGGAACTCATTTCAAGGAAGTATTTGAAAAAGATTTACCTACAGCATATAAGCCACTGGGGGAAAAAAAGTCTCATTAACTCACTTAATACTTGTTATTGACCAAAAGAAAATGTTTATCCTATTCCTGCTCTTTTTAAAGACAAAATAATGTTTGCCTTTTCCAAAGATCAAACAAATCTACTGCCAAAGATCCAAGAAGATCCATCCAGATGAAGACAATTCTCAATGAAAAACTTTGGAAGCAGAATTAGAATATAAATAATCTTGGACTTAATCTACAATATAAATAGAGGAATGATGGTTACAGTTCTTGCTACACCACTCAGCAAGAACCACAAGAAATGGCTTATCTTGCTTAAAAATTAGGTTAATTTGCCAGCTTTTAAAAAAATTGCAGAGCTGAAACCGGTTTGGCTCAGTAGTAGAGCGTCGGTCTGCAGACTAAAAGGTCCCAGGTTCGATTCAGGTCAAGGGCATGTACCTTGGTTGCGGGCACATCTCTGGTGGGGGATGTGCAAGAGGCAGTTGGTCGATGTTTCTCTCTCATCGACGTTTCTAGCTCTCTATTTCTCTCCCTTCCTCTCTGTAAAAAATCAATAAAATATATATTTTTAAAAATTGCAGAGCCAAATCCCTTCACTTCTTGCTTTAGATTATTTTACTCAATCCTCAAAATATCTCATTATCAGCAGCTATCTGCCCCAATTCTGCAGAAGAGAAAACTGAGACTTTGAGTCAAGAACCTTGCCCAAAGTCACAAGCTACCAAGTAGTGGATGGACTAGGGGCTCAAATCCAGGTCTAGTAGATGCCACAGTATTCTTTTAGCAACAGTGAATTTATTAGGTCCATAGTTAATAAAAAATATTAAAAATACTGCTACCTTTCCTAATGAATTAACACCTCCACTACAAAAGACAAGGACAAAAGGCTAAATTGAGATGGTAATTAGTTGCTTAAGAACTCGGAGTAAAACATCTTTTAAAATCAGGAAGTTGTTTGAGACTTACCTTTTGCTTCACTTTCATCCGAAACATTTATTATTTGAGAGCTTAAAGAATCTCCATTGCAAGTAATCTTATCTTTCTTCAGTTCTGTACTTGCGGCATCCTTCCCAGATTCAAGTTCATTCTCAATGCTACAGATACTTGAGTTATTTCCCAAATCTATTTTGCTTTCAGAGCCATTTTGCTGCATCTCATTTTCTTCCATTGAAGACTCTCCTGTGTTTCCAGTCTCAATGTGGTCTACACTTGTATCATGATTTTCCTCTGTATCACTCTCAATTTTGTCATCTGTGACATTTTGGCTGCCATCTTTTGTCTGTGAAATCTTTCTTCGTTTTGTGATGGTGCCTAAGTACCACTTTGACTTTTTGCGGATCTTTCTCTTCAACTGAGCTTCAGAGAATTAAAAGAAAAAGGATAGAAGAACATTCAAAAATTTTGTAAAGTCTATGGGGGGAGAAAAATACCTTGAGATATAATAGGAAAAGCAAGTTTAAGAAACCACCATAGTTTTGCATGGTTTGTATAGAAACAGAAATATATAGTACTACAAGAAGGCAGAGAAGTGGGCAATGACTTGTCATTCTGAGTTTGAGTTTTACCTTGAATAATTTTTTAAAAAAAATCTTGAATACTCCTAACTGGTTTTCTCGGTGGATAGAGCGTTGGCCTGTAGACTAAAAGGTCCCAAGTTAGATTCCGTTTAAGGGCATGTACTTTGGTTGTGGGCACATCCCCAATAGGAAGTGTGCAGGAGGCAGCTGATCAATGTTTCCCTCTCCCTTCCTCTCTGTAAAAAAATCAACAAAATATATTTTAAAATAATTTTTAAAAATCTTGAATAATGCCTAGCTGGTATGGCTCAGTGGTTGAGCATTAATCTATGAACCAGGAGGTCATGGTTCGATTCCTGGTTAATGCCCAGATTTCGGGCTCCATCCCCATTATGGGCATGCAGAAGGCAGCGATCAATAATTCTTTCTCATCATCGATGTTTATATCTCTCTTTCCTTCTCACTTCCTCTCTGAAATCAATACAAATATATTAAAAAAATAATAAAGTAAAACCTTAGATAATTTTAAGGAGGGCAATGGATGATCTGTCTGCTGTATGTATTACAAAGAACATTTTGGCAGTAATCTGAGGAATAAACTAGAGAAAAGGCAAGATTAAAAATGGCTTACACTTAAATGCCTATCATACAGTAGAAACTTATAAGCTCTTTTTTTCAAAAAATATATTTTATTGATTTTTAACAGAGAGAAAGGGAGAGAGATAGAGAGCTAGAAACGTGGATGAGAGAGAAACATCAATCAGTTGCCTCTTGCACACCCCCTACCGGGGATTTGCTCGCAACCAAGGTACATGCCCTTGACCGGAATCGAACCTGGGACCATTCAGTCCGCAGACCGACGCTCTACCACTGAGCCAAACCAGCTTCGGGTCTTATAAGTTCTTAATGTATGCTAAAAGTTACTGAAATTTCACTTAAACCTGATCAGTTTGTTACCATTATCAACATAATTTTACAGATGATGAAACTAAGGTATACAAAGACTAAAGTTTCTGCCTAGACCAGACCCAATATATAACGATACTGTAACATTATGCTTAGGAAATTCATCTGTACTGTTAACTGTGTTGAGGTTTAATCATTCTCACTTTTGAAAATAGTCCTCATTTTCAATTCTATTGTTGATGGACATTTGGGTTGGTCCAAGTGTTGGGCTATTTTGAATATTGGTTCTATGAACATTCTTGTATGTGTCTTTAGTAACATAATGCATGCAATCCTGTTGGGTATATAATTAGGAATGGATTGTTTTAAGGAAGTCATTTTTCATGTCCTCACTTGCTTACAGTTCATTTGACTGAGAACCCTCTGGTAGAGGTTTCTTGCTGGTTTGCCTTTCTCATACTTCCTTTCCTTCCTACCTCTTCCCATTTTTACAAAAGTAGGGCTTACCTATCTCAAATCAATTATCCCAGAAAGGAAAAACATACAATATTATAAGGGAAAATTCCAATCCCAGTAAAATACACACACACTTTTAAAAATTTCTGTTTAAAAGCATTGGTGTTGCCCTAGGTGGTTTGGCTCAGTGGACAGAGTGTTGGCCTGCGAACTGAAGGGTTCCAGGTTTGATTCCAGCCAAGGACACATGCCTGAGTTGCGGGCTCAATCCTCAATGGAGGGCATGAAGGAGGCAGCCGATCAATGATTCTCTCTCATCATTGATTTTCTATCTCTCTCCCTCTCTCACTTCCTCTCTAAAATCAATAAAGAAATATATATATAAAAATAAAAATAAAAAATAAAAGCACTGGTGTCTAATAAGGCATTAAGGAATTAAGACAACTAAATCTGGGAAAATAAATAAAGAGCTGAGAGTTTCACATTCATGGGGCTTAAAGAACAAAACATGGAATTAAGAGCCTGCCAAGGAACGGAGGTCTTTGGAAAATCCACAGGCTTTGGGTTGGTACCCTATAAAGGTATACCCTAAAAACAAGGAGGAATAGGAAATGACCAGGATTTTAAAGAAATGAAAATTAGTTTCGAATCAAATCAATCCACAATTAGATGAAGATGAATTGGGACTGCAAGTGGCATACCGTTACAATCTGGATTTCAAGAATGCATAGCTGCCTCAATATTAACCAAACCAATATAATTCACTAAATCAACATAAAGGAAACTAAGGGAGAAATTAAATGGCATTGGAAGAGCATAAAGGTTACAATTTCATAAGTAAAAATCACCCAAGTGCACTCACCAGGAGTGCTGCAAGCCACAGGAATATTGAGCATCTTGAGCTTTTCATTCTGCTCTGGAACCAATCTTTTATCACCAGCAGAAGTGGAATTTTGCTTTGGCATCACATGGTAATAAGATGGAGCATATTTGGAGGAGCTACAACCTTATAAATAGACACACAAAATGTCAAATTAAATTTCTAGATTTCAAAATTACCTGAAGGATTAATTAAAAGCACTCACACTACATTAAATGCACCCTTTTCTAATTCCAAATCATTTTTTTTTTTACCTCTCTTTTTTCTAGATTCCTGAATTTCTTCACAAAGCTGCTCAAAGTCTTCATCAAGTTCTTCTTTAATTATTGCATAGGCAGTATCTCTTAAAGCACATGCTCTGTGCCTAATAAGACGATCTGAAAAATGAATAAAGAATTTAAAATTTTCTCCTTTTAATAACTTACCAAAAATAAACTTGACATTTTAGGTTAAGATTGTAGCCATTACAATCCCCCCCCCCTTTTTTTTTAGTTTTATCATGAATAGTAACAGTTACAAAAATTGTATAATTCTTTTCTTTGTGCAATCTAGTGTTCTATACACCTAATTCAATATGGCAATAAATCCAAAAAATTTTATTGCTATGTCCTATCCATACCTTTTTGAAATATCAGAAAAAAAAATCTAAGTATCAATCAATAGCAAAATTAAATATAATGACAAAACAAACAAAAACAGAAAGGAAGTCTATGAGTTATTAGTGAACAGAATGTAAAGTAATTCTAGAAGAGATATAGAGAATGTTACTGCATTGACAGAGAAACTAAGCAAAGATAATGAAAGAGCAAACCTACACAAGAAACACTGGAAGAAATCCTAAACTGAGTCTAACTACTGTAAACTGGAATATACTGAGGCAGAAAGCAGACAATGAGTGAATACAAGGTTGATTGAATGGGTTTTATCAGTCCTTTTCACAGGGCAATGGCTGAAATATTCACACTCAAGATGAAGATGACAGTAATAGCTACAATATCAGAAGGGATGTAGGAGGGGGCTTCTAACATGGCATTTGGCCTGAAGAAAAGCAGAGCAAAGTTGGAGTATTTGTTTCAGAAGTGTGGGGGCATGAGGATCACTGAGGAACTTGCCAGGAATGCAAATTCTCAGGCCTTTATTCTATCTACAGATTCAGAAACTCTTAATCTCAACAAGTCCTTTAGGAGACTGATACTTCATAAAGTTTGAACACCACTGGTCTAAAGTAATTTTAGGCTGCCACATGGACAGAAAGAGAAGAAGCCAAAGAGAAAAAAACCCTGCTTTCAGAGTAAATGTTCCTTCCTTCTAGCTAAGGGGCATTCCCAGTTTGGTAGCCTGTTTCCATTGCTTACCATCAGAAGTCTGGAAAAGCCCAGGGAAAGTGAAGTAGAAGACTAGTGAGCCTCTCAATTGCTGAAGAAACTCAGTAGGCCCCTATGCTAATTAATCTTATTTACAAGCACAAACAACTATAGCAGCCAATGTACTAGAGGATAGTTAATATAGAAAACAAACTATTAAAACTATAAGAAAGTGTTAAGGACACTGCATCTATAAAACAAGAAGAGGATGCTAAAAAAGAAAAAGAAGCACCAGAGGAAAAAATATTTTTGGAAATAAGTTTATCTCAAATATTTAGATATTTGAATGCATCACTATGTGTGTCAGGGATGGGGAATGTCTGGCCCATGGGCCATATAAGGCCCTCGAAATCCTTTGGTCTGGTCCTGCCAAGGCAACCCCATGTGGGACTCAAAATTCAGTAAATCTAGGAGCTTTTTTCAAAGAAACATAAATTTATACTAAGTGAATTATATTAAGTGAATGATGTTGTAAATATACAAATGGCCATAGGCAGAAAAAAGGTTCCCCACTTCTGATGTATATAAAGAAATATGTAATTTTTAAAAATCCTGTACTTTATAAAATTTTTAATAGATTGGGTAAGGGGAGAATGGGTACATGCATTGAAAAGATATCCTCAAACTTAAGAGTCCACCTTTGAAGAAAAGAAATAGAAGACTTAGTTTTTAAAATATTGTATTACTTTTGTAATAAAAATTATAATGGTCATAACCAAGAAAATTATTTCAAACCTATTTTTCCAATGTGAGTGTTTATTTTTCCAATGTGAGAAAGAATATTAACATACAAAGGAAACAAGCTAAGTTGTTATGCAATATTGAGTCTTATTAAAGAATATATTATGTAATAAACACAAGGATTTTGGAGTGAAAGAAAATTGCATTCAAATTCTGCCTCTGCCACTGTCTGGCAGTATAACCTTGAATAAATTCTTTAACCTTGCAAAACTTCATTTTCCTTCGTTGTAATATAAGGGATAAGACTGGTATAAGGATAAATGGCAGTATGAATGTAAAATGTTTATAATAATATAGCACCTGGCATAAAATCAACCCTTGAAGTTAGTTAGCAGCCCCCATTCCACTAATGCTCACCTCCAGGATCTCTATCGGGATTGTATTCTAAAGCATTACTACAGATCAGATCGATATCACTCAAATAGTCTTTCACAGTCAGATACTTGTGGAGGTCAATTTTACTGATTACAGATGAAAGGTCCATTGGTTGTTTTATTACAGTAACATAATCAGGAACCTAAAATTCAAGCAAATGACCAAGTCACTTAAATTAACTCTGAACAAAAATACATTTGAGTAAAGTCTCTTTGTCAAGCAATACAGGAGAGAGGGAGAATAAATAGATAAGAGATAATGATAATATATTAATATGAAACTCTGACTCTCTTTAAGGTTGGTTTTATTTTGTATTTCTTCTTAGTCTTGAGCAACTATCTCTCCATAATAGCCTATATCTCTTTCCTCAACCAAACGCCACCCATCCTTCAATGCTTGCTCTCCAGCTCACTCTGTGTATATAAGAAAAAAATCATGTAGCATTAAGACATTCACAGATTGCTTCTAGAATGTTTGGGTTGAGCAGACAAATTTAGCTGTCTATTCTCTGTAGGAAAGGAAAATGTGTTCAATAGTTCTTGAAGTTTCTATGTGCTTAGGACATTCCTGGTAGGTTTTCATATAGAGAAAACAAGTTCAGAGTGTAGGCAGAGAACCATATGAACTATTTAAATAATCTCTACTTTAGAAGCATTATAGTTTAGAAAACATTGATTCTAAGATTAAATTAATACCTCATCAGGGTCAACAGGTTTAGTAAATATTCTGAATCGCTTATCAATAGCAAGCCTATGTGTAACATTTCTTAAGAAAATCCTCAGTTCTCTAAATGTATTTTCTTCTTGTTCTTCTAGTTGTTTCAATTCTTCTGCTGTCAATGGTCTTGGCTCAGGTGGTGGTGCTACTGGGAGTACCTCCAAGGCCTGCAAAACTTCACATAAATGGAAGGTTTTAGTTACTACTCTCCCAGCATATCAATAAATCATTCAGAGCACACAGTATCGGGCTTTCAGGGCTATCCTCCTCACATATGCCAGGAATCAGAGGATTTGGAATATTAACATGGAATACATTCCCCCAACAAAACTGGTAACATGTAATTTGGAATGCTAATTTCCAATCCACTGCCTCTATTCCATTTTTAGATAATTTAACAGGCGATTACAACTTTGAAAATGCATTATTTCTAGGACAAAAATATTCTATTAAAATGTATTTTTTACTAGTTAATTTTTGAACTAATGAAAAACTGCGGTATATTTAAAATAAAAAGAAGTTAATTTTATTTAAAGAGTACTGAGTACTCAGGACAAAAAAAGAAATATGAGAGTATTGTTGCAATAAGTTATCAATCTATTATTAAGGGAGTAAGAGACATAATTACATCAATGTAATATCATATTAGTAGTATGAAAGAATAAAAAATTAATTTTGCCTACATATGTCAAGGAAGAAAATATGAGTTATACTAGAAGAACAAAGAGTTCCTTAGGCAGAAATGGGGTGAGGATAGAAGCATTATTGACAGAGAGCAAACATAAATGAACTTATGAAAAGGCAGAAATATGTTGTGCATGTTTAAAGACAGAATGCTTTGTAAGGAAAGAAGTGAGGGAGGGAGGTAACAAAAGTGCCAAAAATGGGCTTAGAAAGACAGATTTGGGCTATACTATGAATTCAAGCTCAAAGTACACACAGATAAAGCTATGCTTAAAAGGTTGTGTGGGCTTTAGGAACCTTAGTCTATTTTAATAGAAAAGATTTTTAAGCAACAGAGGTAGCAACCTCATGCCTGAGGTTTTAAGCTTGTAATAATATAAGATAGCAAGGACATTAACTAATGTTTTATTCTTCCTCAAAGTCATTACATACTAACTTTGATATAGAAACTAACCTGCTTTCTTTTTTGATATGGGAGGCTTAGCAGCTTGTTTTAGAATTAAATCCTCAAAAAATTTTGTCCGTTCTTCTTTACCAGGTAACTGAACATTGAAAATTTCTCCATAATCACGGATAAATAATTCTTGCACCTTAAAAAAATAAAAATAAATGCAACAATAGATGATACACAATTTTAATGACAATCTAAGTTGTTTAATAAAGAAATACTTCTAAAAAATATATATTTTATTGATTTTTTTACAGAGAGGAAGAGAGAGGGATAGAAAGTTAGAAACATCTATCAGCTGCCTCCTACACCACCCCCACCAGGGATGTGTCCGCAACCAAGGTACATGCCCTTGACCGGAATTGAACCCGGGACCCTTCAGTCCACAGACCGATGCTCTATCCACTGAGCCAAACCGGTTTCTGCAAGAAATAATTTTTTAAAAGAAATCTTTTATATATACTGAATTTATGAATAAATCAGGAATATAACAGATTTAAGAATTTAAAAAATAGGATCGCCGAAACTGGTTTGGCTCAGTGGATAGAGCATCGGTCTGTGGACTGAAAGGTCCCAGGTTCGATTCCAGTGAAGGGCATGTACCTTGGTTGCTGGCACATCCTCAGTAGGAGGTGTGCAAGAGGCAGCTGAACGATGATTCTCTCTCAATGTTTCTAACTATCCCTCTCTCTTCCTCTCTTTAAAAAAATCAATAAAATATATTTAAAAAAATAATTTTTTAAAAGAAATCTTTTATATATACTGAATTTATAAATAAATCAGGACTATAACAGATTTAAGAATTTAAAAAATAGGATCGCTGAAACTGGTTTGGCTCAGTGGATAGAGTGTTGGTCTGTGGACTGAAAGGTCCCAGGTTCGATTCCAGTCAAGGGCATGTACATTGGTTGCGGGCACATCCCTGGTGGGGGGTGTGCAGGAGGCAGCTGGTTGATGTCTCTCTCACATCAATGTTTCTAGCTCTCTAACTCTCTCCCTTCCTCTCTGTAAAAAAATCAATAAAATATATTAAAAAAAATTTTTTTTTTACAAATAAAAAAAATATCTTAAAAAAATAGGATATTTAAAACTTGACTCTGGTAACTGACATGGTAATATTTTACTTAAGTAAAGTGTTTTTTATTTTTTATTAAATTATTATCTGTGTACATATTTTAACGCTGCCACCCCCCCATACATACCCTCCCTCCCCAGAGTTTTGTGTTCACTGGTTGTACTTATATACATGTATACAGGTCCTTCGGTTGATCTATTATCTCCCCCAGATCTCCCTACCCTACCTGCGTTTTGTTTTTTTTTTAGTCAATTCACTTTCACAGTCAAAGTGAGATATGAGAGAGGTGCTTCAATAAGAATAAAACAATACAGGCTTGTATTCTCAATGGTTAGAGCATATGCCCCCACACTGAAGGCTTATGGGTTCAATTCTCAGTAAAGAGCATGTAACTGGGTTGCAAGTTCCATCCCCAACCCCAGCTGGGGGTGTATGGAAGCAATCAATAGATGTGTGTCTCTTACATCAATGTTTCTCTCTCTCTTTCTTTCTCTCTCTCTGTATGGAAGCAACCAATCAATGTGTTGCTCCCTCACCCCCACTGGAAAAAAAATATCCTCAGGTAAGGATTAAAATAATGAATAAATAGGCATAAGCTTGGATAGTAATTTGGTACTATCGAAAATGCTCAATGGCCCTGGCTAGTGTGGCTCAATTGATTGAAGCATCGTACCATGCACCAAAGGGTCACAGATTCAATTCCCGGCTGGGGCACGTACAGGAGGTAGCTGATCGATGTTTTTCTGTCTCTCCCTTCCTCTCTAAAATCAATAGAAATATATCCTCAGGGGAGGATAAAAAAAGTGTTCAATGTGCATACTCTTTAACTAAGCTAGTAATTTCACTTTTAGAAAATAATGCTAGAAACCACATAGTAATGCTTATGCAAATTAAAACCCAAGAATGCAAAATAAATAAATAAATAAAACTCAAGAATGTTCACTGTAGCAGTTCAATAGAAAAGAACCCTAGAAAACAACCAAAGACATATGCACAAGGATTTGGATAAATAAATTATGGTACATGAAGACAATGAGAAAAGCTATGTTACTCTTAAAAGAAATAAGGCATATCCTGAAGATTACATAAAATATATAAAGCAAATTGCAGAATTGTATGCATCATATATATATATATATATATATATATATATATATATATATACACACACACCAACCTACCTAACAAGCACTAAACCAAATAGTTAATAATGTTATCTTTGATAAGAAAGCTTTTATTATTTTATTCATTCTGAAGCATTTGGAATTTTTATATTTTAATAAAAATAACTTTCTTTTTAAGTATAATAAATTTCCCTACACAAATTACCTCTTCTGGTAAAGAAGAATGGGGTTTGTCAGAAGTTGCAAGTAGTAAAACTGGAGCAAATGAAGGAATATTCTGTAATAATGTGGTAAATGTGGCTTTGAGTGTTGGTCCAACTATTTCCCACCACAAGTGGATATGAGGAATATACACTATACTCGGTGCTGTTCTCTTAGCTTCACGAATCATCTAGTAGAGAGAAAAAGATTTACATTCAGTTAGAGAGTCAGCACATCAGTAATGCTAACTTTATTAGTCTGGAACAATGTTTAACTTCCCAGAATTATCATATAAATCCATCCAATTTTTTAAATAGGGAAGAGGGTAGAAGGGGGCAAAGGGTGATAAGGAAAAAATAAAACAGAAAACCCTCATTAAATAAATAAGTAAAATGCTTCCCCCTCAATCCTGTTTATAAACGTTTCATCTCATTGTTAGAAAACATAACTGTTTCAAGCAGTTAGAAAACAATCAAGAACTACAGAAGACTTTTCTGCTGTAACCAAGGTTAAATATGAAAATAAGTATAAAACAACTTTTCATTAAAATTTTTAAATAAATAACAAAAACAAAGCAGTAGAATATCTGAGTACTTACAACATAGCAGTCACTCTTTCAAGTACAATTCTCACAACAGCCATACAAGATAAATACTATTATCTGCATTTTGTAAATGAGGAAACTGAGACAAAGAGATCTAACAACTCTTTTAAGGTCACTTAGGTATTAAGTGGTGAAAATGGTATTTAAACCCAGACTCTTTAATAATCAAGAAATTTATGCCTTAGTTTTATATATTTTTTAAAACCTAGTTACAAATCGTAAGCAAAGAAAGTACCAAAAAGAAAAAAATGAGGCAATTCTACATTTGTCTCTGGAAGTTTCCTTTATCTACAGCTTACCTAGGCAACAATGAATTACCTGAGCACATGTTTCTTCAGGAGATGTAGTACTGATTCCAAAAAGAACAGGAATGTCTAATGTATACACTGCAAATTTTTCCAAAGCATGGATGACAGCTGGCGCCAAATGAGAACCTTGCCCAAATCCTGGTTCTCCCACTATCAACATTCTTGGTCGAAAAGACATAGGTTGATAACAAGCATTTCTAAAAGAAATGAGTAATAAGTTATATTTTAGAAAATTATAAAGTTTAAATTTTCCTCCCAAACTACCAACTATGGACTTACATAGTCAAAACTTTTTAATGTTTCATTGGACAATCATATCAGCATGACTCATATGGTTTTGGAAATAACTTCCACAGATTTTTAAGAATATCAGCCTGGCCAGTATGTCTCTATGGCTGATCGTCTACCTATGATTCAGGTCACGGTTTGGTTCCTGGTCACGGTACACACCCAGGTTGCAGGCTCAATACCCAGTGGGTAAGGAAAGTGGGGGGAGGTGTAGGAGGCAGCTCATCAATGATCTCTCTCAATGATGTTTCTCTCTCTCCCTCTCCCTTCCTCTTTGAAATCAATATATATATATATATATATATGTTTTTAAAAAGAATACGTATGTAGTGGCATTTCTACTATGGTGCCAACAGCAAGAACAATTTTTTTTTTTGATATTTTAATTTAAAAAAGAAAGAATAGTTGGCATTTTTTTATTTTTCAACAACTATCTCATTTAGTTTTAGGGAATTTACACACACACACACACACACACACACACACACACACACAATTCATTTGCAAGGAAAAGGTACCTATTCAAATGAAGAAAATTAAAATTTTCTTTTGCTTTATTAAAAGAATTTTGAGGAAGCCCATTTTCACATACTGATGGAACATCATCATCACTGTATGCCAAGTCACTTTCTAGCAGAGGACAAGAAATATCTATAAACAAACAAAAAACTGTACATTAGTAACTTTTCTGGATTGCAAAGCAAATTTTAATGCAGTGCTTCAGTTAGCAATCAGTGTACATCAATGACATTTTTTAGAAAATCAAATATATTGTGTAGATATGAATAACAAGTACAGTTAAGTCCTCATTTAACAATCAATAGATTCTATGACTAAGCGAAATTATGTATAACAATTTTATCATAAGCTAATTGATATAAACAAGAGTTAAGTTCCTACAGCATCTCATCATTGTCATAATGAAACAATGTTAAATGAATCAATGTTATTTGAGGAACTGCTGTAAATATAAAAATGCATTCCAAACTTAAAATATCCAAGCAAAGCATGACCAAGTTCCTTTCAAGATGTTGTGTATAGCCAAAACCGGTTGGCTCAGTGGATAGAGCGTCAGCCTGCAGACTGAAGGGTCCCGGATTCGATTCCGGGCAAGGACATGTACCTTGGTTGCGGGCACATCCCCAGTAGGGGGTGTGCAAGAGGCAGCTGGTCAATGATTCTCTCTCTTCGATGTTTCTAACTCTCTATCCCTCTCTGTAAAAAGTAAAAAAAAAATTTTAAAAAGATGTTGTGTATAAAGAAACATTTCTGAGATGTATAAAACATTTAGCTTTATGATTATGAAAATGAAGTTTAAATAATCGATCAAATTTCATACCGGAGTCCAGTGCTTTATTTGTTCTGATTTCCGCATGTGGAAATACTCTCTGAAGGGCTTCTAAGATCCTGTGAACAGTACTTTGCAGGAGAGGTTTCACAATGGTGGACAGTGCCTGCCCAGGTGATGTCACTGCTCTTTGAGAGGCTGGTATCATCTTTTGCATAGCTACCTCAAAATCTTTAGCTGAGATAGTAATTGAAGAGAGGTCCAACTGCAGTTTCTCACTAGTGTTATAGATCTGTGGGTAGCGTCGACGCAGAGCACATAAAGCAGCCTCAGAGCATATTGACTTAATATCTGCACCACAGTATCCTACCAAGGCAAAAAAAAAAAAAAAAAAAAAAAAAGAAAGAAAGAAAAAAGAAAAAAAAAAAAAAGGAAAAAAAGGAATAGTAAACTACCATCCTATTATCATGATGATGGTTAAAATTAAAAATCAACCTAACAACACAGTAGCAAAATATTTAGGAGTAAGAAGGCTAATATGGTGGTGCTAACCATCAACAAATCAACTTTTGTGAGTGAAATAGGCAAATACTAATATAGCATAGAGGTCAACAGCAACAGTTTTAAGATCACAGACAAGTTTCAAATTCCAGTTTGTCATTTTCTAGATGTGTGCTCTTTGGAGAATCATGTATGTTCTGTCAGCCATTTCTACATTTGTAAAATAGGGATGTTACCTACTTTGGAGGACTGATGTGAGAATCACCTGAAATATATGTAGAATGCTCAACAGGATGACTAGAAAACTGTAAACAGCAAAAGATACCTATTATTATCTACTTTGCTCTCAAAATCCTCAACAGCTAATTTATCAAATATCTCTATTTCATATCCTGAACTTTGTAGGAAGGGAACAGTAGAGATGAGAAACAAATATAAGCCTGTATTTCTTTAACTATAACATTGTAAGGCTATATATCTTTGAAATGCATTTCTTTTAATGCTTAAAAGCAATGCTCACCAACACAGTTTTCTGCTAGTTCTTCTAGAAATATGTCCAGTGGTTTAGGATTCCAATCCCTGGTGTGTATCTTTAGAATTTCTTTTCGAGCCTATAAATAAAAACAATTTTTAACATCAATAATAAAGTAAATTATATTCAGATTAGAATGATTTCAATTTAAAATACTTTTAATTATCTAAAATGTTAAAGATATCACTCTATACTAATAAAAGAGTAATATGCTAATTAGATCAAATAGACTAAATATCCTTCTAGACAAAGCTAAGGTGGTGGGGACTAAGGAAGAGGCAGTTAGGGGCGATGAGGCAGGCAGGCAGAGGGGTTAGGGGTGATCAGGCAGGCAGACAGAGTGGTTAGGGGCGATGAGGCAGGCAGCAGGTGAGAAGTTAGGAGCCAACGGTCCTGGATTGCCAAGGGGGTGTCTGATTTAAGTTGGACATCCCCCGAGGGGTCCCGGATTGGAGAGGGTGCAGGCCGGGCTGAGGGACCCTCCCCCCATGCACAAATTTTGTTTACCAGGCATCTAGTACCTAACCAAAAATATGAAATAGTAAAAAAATATATATTTGTACAAGTTTAAGAACTTTATATTAAACACATATACATTTATAACATTCAAGTTCCATTCATATAAATGTAAATGAAAGAAAGTAAATAACTAATGAACTATTGTTCATTTTGGTACATATTAAGAACTGTTAGCCCAGCCAACATGACTCAGTGGTTGAGTGTTGACCTAGGAACCAGTTCATGGTTTGATTCCTGGTCAGAGCACATGCCCAGGTTGCAGGCTAGATCCCCAGGAGAGGGAGCATGCAAGAAGGGCTGATCCATGATTCTCTTTCATCATTGATGTGTGTGTCTCTCTCCCTCTACCTTCCTCTCTAAAATCTGTATTAAAAAAATTATATATATGTATGTATATATAGAACTGTTTTTAAGAGTGCTGACAGCTTTGCCATATTTTCTGCTTGGTTTTCAAAAGATTAAGTGTTGTTTTTTTAATATATATTTTATTGATTTTTTACAGAGAGGAAGGGAGAGGGATAGAGAGCCAGAAACATCGATCAGTTGCCTCCTGCACACTCCCATTGGTGATGTACCTGCAACCAAGATACATGCCCTTGACCGGAATCGAACCTGGGATCTTTCAGTCCACAGGTCGATGCTCTATCCACTGAGTCAAATCTATTAGGGCAAGATTAAGTGGCTTTAAAATAACATGGAGGTACCCATGAAAAAGACAAGGCTAATACATTGGCTAAGGATTGACTGTCCATTTGGCCATATGTTCTGAAGTAAAGCAAAGTTGTATGATTAAATTCAAAGGCTGTGTTCAAATTGAAAGAATTTTAAGAGTATTTTTAAAGAAGGCATTATTTTAAAAAAGAAATAATGAATTATCTGACTTATTTTCTTTAAATAGAATAATATTCCCTAAAAAATACATACATACATATTTGGGTATTAATCATAGAACTTTGCTTCAAAACATACAAAACTCAACCTTCAAATTTTTACTGTACCAAGACTTGTTCATGATAACAGAGACATATTTTGTCAAAATTTGAGCGATGTTACTTAAATTCTTACATCTTTATCAGGTAAGCTGAAAAGAAATTCTCTGTCAAAGCGACCAGGCCTTCGTAAAGCAGGATCAATAGAATCCAATCTGTTGGTAGCACCAATGACTACAATTTCTCCTCTGCTGTCCAATCCATCCATAAGAGCTAGCAGGGTGGAAACAATTGAACTAAATTTAAAAATAAGAGAGAAAGATTAATTGATTGGATGTGGAATATATCTCTTCTTTTGGTAAGAGATTAATACATTAAGCATGAATGAATGTTCTTAAGAGTATCCCAGCTGAAACCAGTTTGGCTCAGTGGATAGAGCGTCAGCCTGTGGACTGTAAGGTCCCAGGTTCGATTCTGGTCAAGTGCATGTACTCTGGTTGCGAGCACATCCCCAGTGGGGGGTGTGCAAGATGCAGCTGATCAACGTTTCTCTCTCATCGATGATTCTAGCTCTCTCTCCTTCTCTCTTCCTCTCTGTAAAAAATAAATTAAATTAAAAAATAATAATAAAAGAAAATACTTAAAAAAAGTATCCCACTACTTTCAATAGATTTTTAAAATATCTGTAAAACAGCATACTAAATATTATGTAAAGATTAAAATAAATAGAAGACATAGATGGTTTTTAGAATGGATCCTGAAAGCCATTTCATAAAACATCATTTTTCAAAGGAACCCGAATTCGCAAAAAAAAAAAAAACTTAAAAAAAAAAATACTAGTAAGTACCATACAGATAAACAGTATCTAAAATTGTAAAATGTTCCATTGCATATAGATTATCAAAGAATCTCAAAATAAAATAGAATACATAGAAAGCATAAAATAGAATATAAATAAAGCATAGAATTTTAATTACTTTAAATATTTTATTGTGGAGAGAGATCAGTAAAATAATTTCCACATCTTCATCACCTAGTTTCAGCCAACAATATTCCTTTTCTATATCTCTACCTGGTAACTTTAAAAATCAAAACCTCAGGCAGATAATTTAATATAAATATATCATGTATGCATTTCTAAGATAAGGACTTTAAACACTCCCATGATACTATGACATCAATGTAAACAGTAATTCCTTAATATGACCTAATACTAGTACCAAATCACCCCCAATTCATTAATTTGTACAATCAAGATCCATACTCTGCACTTGGCCATACAACCCTCAAATCCCATACCAGTTCCCATCACATTCCCTCCCCGTTTTTTCCCCCCTTCCTCCATGCCATTTGTTTGTTAAAGAAACTGGGTCATTTGTCTTAAAGAATATTTTTCCCACATTGTGAACTGAGTTGATAGCTTCCTGATGGGGTCAACATAACGTGTCTTTTATCATTTATGTATCCTATAAACTTGTAGTTAGATCTAGAAGCTTAATAGATGCAGGTTAAATTACTGGGAATAGCACATTTCATACCATGTGTTTCCAACTGTATACCTCAAGGGGTACACATAATACTTACTAGTTTCTCACTTAAGGTCAGTGGGTTGAGTTTTTTTTTTTTTTTTAATATATTTTATTGATTTTGTACAGAGAGGAAGGGAGAGAGAGTGTCAGAAACATCGATGAGAGAGAGTCATCGATCAGCTGCCTCTTGCACACCCCCTACTGGGGATATGCCGCAACCAGGGTACATGCCCTTGACCGGAATCGAACCCGGGACCTTTCAGTCCCCAAGCCGACGCTCTATCCATTGTGCCAAACCGGACCCGGCAGTGGGTTGAGTTTTTAAGAGAGGTGTTGTTAGCTTACTCTACTCATTATAAATTTCACTATGAACCTTTATACCTTACTGTTTAGCAGCCACTGGTAATTACTTCTTAGATCAGTATTTCTCAATCTTGGCACAACTGGCATTTTGGGTCCAAGAATTCTTTGTGGTGGGGAGCTGTCCTGTGCATTCTAGGATGCAACAGCATTCCTGGTCTTCACCTACTAGATAGCACAGGCTCCCCTCCCCACACCACACCACAAGTGTGAAAGTCAAAACTGTCTGCTGACATTTGTCCTCTGGGGAACAGAGTCACCTCCAGTTGAAAACTACAGGAAGAGACTCACTTTTACATAAAGGGCTGCAAAATGCTGATTTTTCTAAAAATTAACTCAGTAATTTCCATTGCTTTTATTAACTGTGATTTTCCTATAAAGAACATTAATTCATCTATTATGAAATTATCCTGATTCATGGCCTGAATCATAATTATAGAACAGGAAAAAGAAATGCCTGATTCATTCTCTTTATCCAATTTTCAGAGTAATGAGTCACTGTCTTAGCAACCTCAGAAAACCCAATTAGACTTTTTAAAAAAGATCATTATAAAATGACTTTTTAATGTACTTGATGCATTTCAATCTGTTGTAGTCATTATTATTTTTGATATTCAAATAGTCCCATCTTTGTCCTATGAAAACTCCTTCAAAATTTACTCCTATTTCATTCTGATATGAACCTAATAGTCTTCGATTGCTTCCTTGCTTCCAGGCATGATGAGATGTGCAGGCTTGTCTTATTTCCTGCCTCAACTCTGCAATCTATCATCTCTCCTATTAGTGCTAGTATTTAGAGCCCATAATCTGTGTGTTAGGGGTACAATTGCTACTGGATTGTGACTGCTTCTAGACCCTTTTAGTGTCCAGAGCTAGTAATTATTTTTTTCTTTAAAAAAATTCATCATGAAATCATAATGATATATATATTTAAAACATAACCAAGAAGGTAAAACACTAACACTTGGAAAACTATAGAACACTGAAAAAAAAGAAATAAAAGAAGATATAAACAAGTAGAAGAATATACTGTGTTCATGGGTTGGTAGAATTAACATAATTAACATGTCCATACTACCCAAAACAATCTATAGATTCAGTGCAGTCCCTATTAAAATACCAATGGCATATTTCAGACCTAGAACAAATACTCTAAAAATTTATATGGAACCAAAAAGGAACCTGATAACTGCAGCAATCTTGAGAAAGAAGAACAAAGTTGGAGGAATCACAATACCAGATATCAAACTATACTACAAAACCACTATAATCAAAACAGCCTGATACTTGCACAAGAACAGATATACAGATCAATGAAACAGAACAGAGAACCCAGAAATTGACCCAAGCCATTATGCTTAATTAATATTTGACAAAGGAGGCAAGAACATAAAATGGAGTCATGATAGTCTCCTCAATAAATGGTGTTGGGATAATTGGACAGGTACATACAAAAAATGAAACTAGACCACCAACTTATAACACACACAAGAATAAACTGGATAAAATATTTAAATATAAGTTGTGAAACTATAAAAATCCTAGAAGACAATGTAGGCAGCAAAATATTAGCTATCAGCCTGGCTGGTGTTGCTCAGTGGTTAAGCATCAACCTATGAACTAGGTCAGGGTACATGCCCTGGGTTGCAGGCTCAATCCCAAGTAGGGAGCCTCTCCCTCTCCCTTCCTCTCTAAAATCAAGAAAAATATTTAAAAAAAAAAACTGTGCTCTCTCCCTTCTGGGGAGGGTTTGTGTCATTCCCTCTCCCTTCCTCTTCCCCCACAGGCACATTTCCCCTAATCTCTAAGGGACCTCTTGCTATGGTCAAGAAATTCTTGTTTGCTTTTCTTAAAAAAAAAGTTTAGCCGAAACCGTTCTGGCTCAGAGGATAGAACGTTAGCCTGTGGACTGTAGGGTCCCCGGTTCGATTCTGGTCAAGGGCATGTACCTTGGTTGCGGGCATATCCCCAGTGGGGGGTGTGCAAGAGGCAGCTAATCAATGACTCTTTCTCACTGATGTTTCTAACTCTCTATTTATCTCCCTTTCTCTCTGTAAAAAAATCAATAAAATATATTTTTTTAAAGTTTAAAAATATATATCAGGTATCTTACATAGCAGAACTTTCACTGATACAGCATCTAGGGCAAGAGAAATAAAGGAAAAAGTAAACAAATGGGATTACATTAAACTGAAAGCTTCAGCAGAGCAAAAGAAACCATCCTCAACATGAAAAGGGAACCCACGGTATGGAAGAACAACATGTCTGCCAATAATATATCTGATAAGGGGTTAATTTCCAAAATATATAAAGTACTCGCTCACCAAAAGGAAGACAAATTCAATTAAAGTGGACAGAGGATCTAAACAGAGACTTTCCCAAAAAGGACATACAAATAGCCGAGAGACATGAAAAAATGCTCCAAATCACTAATCATCAGAGATGCAAATTAAAACCACCACCATGGAAAAGTGTGGGGTTTCCTCAGAAAATTAAAAATGGAACTGCCATGTGACCCAGTGAATCCACTTCTAGGAATATATCCTAAGCCTGAGATACTAGTCAGAAATATGTTTATAACAGTGTTATTTACAACTAGTGCCAAAACCAGTTTGGCTCAGTGGATAGACTGTCGGCCTACAGACTGAAGGGTCCCAGGTTTGATTCCAGTCAAGGGCATGTACCTTGGTTGAGGGCACATCCCAGTGGGGGGTGTGCAGGAGGCAGCTGATACATGTTTCTCTCTCATTGATGTTTCTAACTCTCTATCTCTCTTCCTTCTTCTCTGTAAAAAAATCAATAAAATATATTTGAGCTGAAACCGGTTTGGCTCAGTGGTAGAGCGTCAGTCTGTGGACTGAAAGGTCCCAGGTTCGATTCCGGTCAGGGGCATGTACGTTGGTTGCGGGCACATCCCCGGTGGGGGGTGTGCAGGAGGCGGCTGGTCAATGTTTCTCTCTCATCGACGTTTCTGGCTCTCTATCTCTCTCCCTTCCTCTCTGTAAAAAATCAATAAAATATATAAAAAAAAATATATAAACATATATATATGAAAAAATAGAGGCGCAATGTACGAAATTCATGCAAGCATTGGCCCTTGTAGCCATGACTGCCTCGCAGGCCTGCCCCCCCCCCCCCCCACTGGTCATTCTGGAAGGTCATTCCAGAAGGTTGTTCCACTTTCCAGTCTAATTAGCATATTAGATCTTTATGATATAGAATAGCTAAGATCTGGAAACAGCCCACATGCTCATAATGATATTTTTAATTCAGTTAAGATTTTAATTGAACTTATTTTATATTTGTATTCTCTTTTTCTTAGGCTAAAATTTTATTTGCTAATGCATCAATATAATTACTTGTACATCAAATTTCTTAAGTTTATTCTACATATAAAAAGTCATATATAAAAAGTTTGTATGATTACTGGTAGGACATATACAGACAACTCTTTTTACCATAGTACTTGACATTTTCATTTACTACTCAGAGCAACAAATGAAATTGTATAGCATCAAGTCAAAGAAGGCAACCAGAATATAGTAAATATTGTCAAGTATTAGAAGAGTCAAAACCTACCTATTACATTATTTCCTGTTCCTCTTTTATATCATTTACAACAAAGAACAATACTGGCATACATGAAGGCATGCAAACATTTGCTTTAGGGTATCCCAAACTAATTAAGCAATTACTGATAATTAACAAGCTCAATTTATTTAAAAAATATTTTTATTGATTTCAGAGAGGGAGAGCTAGAGAGATAGAAACATTCATGATAAGAGAGAATCATTGATTGGCTGCCTCCTGCATGCCCCCCACTGGGGATTAAGCCCCAAACCAAGGTACATGCCCTTGACTGGAATCGAACCCAGGACCCTTCAGTCCGCAGGCTGTTATCTATTCACTGAGCTAACCAGCTAGGGCTATGAGCTCATTTTAAAAGAAATTCTGAAAAACTGAAAACGAACTGGGACTTGAGGCAGTGGCACTAAGGAAAAGTACTCCCTTAAGTAAACAGTTTACCACAAGGGATATTCAATTTTCCCATTCTGAAAATGAGGAAATTATGCTAGTATTAGAATATTAAACTAATAGTCATGCTAGAATATATTTTATTTGGCTCAGGCAGTATCTTAAAAAGAATCTGAATTGGTTGGCAATATTTAGAAGATATTTGCAAATTTGAATATAAAATTTAAGAAAGAGAAAACTTAATTTTCAAGTCTGGGTCAGCATCTGCACTTCAAGTGGTTGGAGATAAAAACAACTGGTTATGCTCTTATGATTGAACACTCAGCCACATTCCACATCACAACCCCACACTTACCATTGGTTTGTCTCACTCATCTTATTTGCTTTATGCCTTACTTTACTGGCCAGTGTGCATTTAAGTTTATAACCAAGATTTAAAAAAAACGACATTACAAATAGTATTTTTTCCTTATCACCATTAAAAGTCTGAATTTTAAACAGATTCTTGGATTGGCAGCTCATATCCATTAGCTCATTTAACTTTCACACCTGTCTCATCCCCAATAGCTTTTCCAGTACTACTACCTTCAAAGCTCTGAGTTTTTCCAATTTGAACTTGGGCTTCTTCAGCATTTGACTTTTCTAACAAAAACATTGTGAAACAGATAAGTAGACTGGCAAGCCTTTTCTATGTCTTTTCCAATGCTATCTGGGATCAATGTATTGATCACTTCCTTTCCAGTAATTTGTCTGCACCTCTCGGGTCATGATTTCCATTATCTTCTCCCGGATCCTGTAGACCTATTGATGCCAACCATAAGGTCTTACAAATTTGGTAGTTGTATTTTTTTTAGTAAAACCAGCATAAAATAGATGAAGCAAATAACCATTGCTAATCTTGACATCAACATGAGCTTCAATTACAGTCTGTCATTTTTTGACCATGGAGCACATTTTGTCACAGGTAAGATACATGCCATGGAAATTAGGCAGTTTTTGCCCTGAATGTCCTCAGTAAGTAGCTTGAGTTTTTTTTTCTTTTTGTTAATCCTCTCCAGAGGATATTTTTTCATTGAATTTTAGAGAGAGTGGGAGAGGAAGAGACAAAGAGAAACATCAATGTGGAAGACACATGAATTGGTTGCCTCCTGCATGCACCCCGACCAGGGCAACCAAGGTATGTGCTCTTGATCAGAATTGAACCCAGGACCCTTCAGTTCAAGGGTCAAACTGGCCAGAGCTTGCTTGAGTTTTCTAAATGTAATCTCATCACTTTGCAGATCAGCTAGGTTCACTTTAAAAACATGACCTCCTGCCCTGGCCGGTTTGGTTCAGTGGATAGAGCTATGTCCTGTGGACTGAAGGGTCCAGGGTTCAATTCCAGTCAAGGGCATGTACCTTGGTTTGAGGCTTGATCCCCAATGGGGGGGTGTGCAGGAGGCAGCTAATTAATGTTTCTCTCTCATAGATGTTTCTAACTCTCTATTCCTCTCCTTTGCTCTCTAAAAAAATCAATAAAATACATATATTTTTAAAAAATAAATCCGAAACAAGTTTGGCTCAGTGGATAGAGTGTCAGCCTGTGGACTGAAAGGTCCTGGGTTCGATTCCGGTCAAGGGCATGTACCTTGCTTGCGGGCACATCCCCAGTAGGGTGTGTGCAGGAGGCAGCTGATTGATGACTCTCTCTCATCCATGTTTCTAACTCTCTATCCCTCTCTCTTCCTCTCTGTAAAAAATCAATAAGATATACTTAAAAAAATGAAAACATGACCCCTGAGACCATCAGATGGGATTTTGGTTCCTTGAATTCTCATGATGTGTTTTTCCATTATTACTTATCAGAGGCCCAGTGCATAAAATTCATGCATGGAGGTGGGGGAGGAGGTGTCTCTCAGCCCGGCCTGCACCCTCTCCAATCTGGGACCCCTCGGGAGATGTCTGACTGCCTCTCACAATCTGGGACCACTGGCTCCTAACCACTCACCTGCCTGCCTGCCTGATTGCCCCTAACCCCTCTGCCTGCCTACCTTCCTGCCTAATCACCCATAACAACCTCTGTCTGCTTGCCTGATTGCTCCCCTGCTGGCTTGATTGGCCCTAACCGCCTCTGCCTCACCCCACAAGAGGGATCCAAGATTCCCTCCTCCAGCTGGTTGCAGGCACTGGAGACCCAGGCTTCCCTCCCTCTGGCTGGCTGTAGGCACCCAGGACCCAGCTGGTTTCACCTGGGCTGGCTGCAGCCACAGCCTCAGGCGCCTGGGACCACAAGAAGTTGGCTTGTCCCTCTCCTGGGCAGTAGGCACAGGCTCTAGAGCCCGGGACCGCAGGATATGCAGTTTGTCCCTTTCCTGGGCTGGTCCCCACTCCTCCCTCACAAGCTCATTTGTGCCTGGTTGGTCCCTATTCCTTTCTCCCCAATATTAAGTGACTGAGCCATTACTGCGTGACAGCATGAGGGCATGACGACTACTTGCATATTAGCTCTTTATTATATAGGATATTGAACATAGCCGGCAGTTTTACAGCACATCAGTCTTTCTTAGAAAACAGGTTAATCACTTTCTTCTTGGCTCCTTTTTTGCCTCCTTCTGTAACACGTTTGTTTTTACTGACAACCATGGTGCCACTCAGAGACCAAAAAGTGCAATAAAAAATTTAATAGTGTGCTTGAGAATACCCTGCCATCCAGAACAGGTTCAAATTATCTTTTTCCACTCTATAGTAACTAGAGGCCCAGTGCATGCACTAAGGGTGGTGGGGGTGGGGTGGGTGGTCCCCTCAGCCCAACCTGCGCCCTCTCACAATCCAGGAGCCCTTGGGGGATGTCCAACTCCAGCTTAGGCCCACTCCCCCACCTCCCCAGCAGTCAGACATCCTAAACTGGCAGTTGGACATCATTAGCACTGCTGTGGAGACAGGAGATACTTCCGCCATCACCCCTGCAGTTGTCAGCCATGAACCCGGCTTCTGGCTGAGTTCCTGCATTGAGTGTCTGCCCCTGGTGGTCAGTGCATGTCATAGCGACCAGTTGTTCCATTATTCAGTTGATTTTACATATTAGCCTTTTATTATATAGAATTGGGATTTTAATACCAAAAAAAAAAAAGGGGGGGGGCACTACTGGTTTGTAAAGTTTCTTTCACCATTTAACCATTATATTGCTCATATAATACCAATGTAGCTCAGAATATAGGGAAAAAGGAAGAAATGTCATCAAGCAAATTTTTACCTGTGAATTTGATCTTGCCTGCTTGATCGTACTGGAGCCAGACCATCAATTTCATCAAAGAAAATAATGGATGGGCGCATCTGGTAAGCCTAGAAAGCAGGTTCAGTGGTTGCATGAAAAACTTCAAATATTAGACTTTATATATTAGAACATTTTAATCCATTTCATAAAACTTGCTTACAAAACTTATAAGTTATAAATCTAAATGTAAACTCAAGAACTATGCTTTAAGGGTTCAGACTAAATTATAACATATAGCTTACTTTTATTTGCATTTCAATGGGAAATATTTAATGTATACTTTACTGGTTATATAATTTAGATTTCGTATAGCTATATTTACTGGGACATATAAAAATCTATAACAGACCAATTGTCAAAACAAGATAAAGAATAGAAAGTGACATAATCTCCCTTTCTATCTGGATGGGAAAATAATTAGCACGATGCCATAGTTTGAAAAAGACATATCTCAATAAAGTTAAAACAAAAATCCTCAATGAGTTCCATAAAGAGATTTAAAAGCATCTGTAACAATATGCCTTAGTAGATCAGAATGTATTCTCTCACAATATGTTGTTAATACAATCTGGCATATACAATTAAAGCCAGTCTAGGGATGAACTAATCTTCTATTAAGACATAGCTCACTATTACTGTCTCCCTAAGTATGAAATTACCGCTTTCTTTTTAGGTTCTAAGACTCCAAAGAACTTTGATCCAATCATTCCTTTCTCTTCTTACTATAAAACTATTCCTTTTAGATCAGTGTTATCTTGATACACAAAGAAAATAATCTAGGAAGATTATATATTTGGATTAAGTCTTCTGAATTTTTGCTTTATGAAAAGTAATCAAATGCAAGATTTATCTAATCCTTACATACTTACATCTATTATACAATGACTGAAAAATCTATGTAGGTAAATTTTAATATCATACCTGATCAAATAGCAATCGTAGTTGTCTTTCAGACTCTCCTACCCATTTACTTAGACAATCAGCACCTTTTCTCATGAAAAATGCTACTCTCTTATCGCCTTGACTGCATTCATTGGCAAGTGCTCTAGCAACCAGAGTTTTTCCGGTTCCAGGTGGACCATAAAACAAACAACCTCTGTAAAAGAATAAGTATTATTTTATTATTACTACATAAAAAAATAAGACTATTTAGACAAAATTACAAACCAATTTCATGAGTGTACCTAATTAGTGAATAAAAAAAATAAATGAGCCCTAGCCAGTTTGGCTCAATGTGTGGAGCATCAGCCTGTGGACTGAAGGGTCCTAGGTTCAATTCCAGTCAAGGGCACATGCACAGTTGGCTCGATCCCCAGTAGCGGGAGTGCAGGAGGCAGCCGATAAATTATTCTCTCTTATCATTGATGTTTCTATCACTCTCCCTCTCCCTTCAAATTTAAAATCAATAAAAACGTATTTTTTAAAAAAGTAAATGAGACAATTGAAATATTTCAATTCACAGAGCACAACTTAAAACCTTGGAATATTGACACTACAAAATTAATACCGAAACTAAATAAAAACCTTTATTTAAAACACATCTTCTTTTAATCAAGTCTTGGTCTTTTGGCTAAGATGAAGTATAAAACATATTTTCTTTTATTCATTCATTGTACTCATTATATTACCTTTCCTTGCATAAAGTTACACTTAAAAAGACCTCATAGTTTACAATCTTTCGCATCAGTCTCAGAAACATAACACTAAAAGTTTTGTTAAAAAACATGTGAGTACTAAATAGGAAAGGAAGATAAGAGAGAATTTAAATAATGGTGGTTGGGTGGTAAGGACTAAGTGTAAATAATTTAAAATAATTTCTGTGACACCACTGCCATAGGGTAACTTACTGTTTTTTGCCCCCTCCCCCGGCCCCCACAAAGTTCTAGTTATTTGTTGCTCTTGGGATAGAATTCTGATAAAATGAACTTTACTCACAATTCTTTTTTAAAAATATAGATTTTTTAAATTGATTTGAGAGAAGGGAGAAGGAGAGAGAGTATAACATCAATGATGAGAGAGAATCATTGATTGGCTGCCTCCTACACGCCTCCTACTGGGGATTGATCTGGCAACTGGACAGGTGGCCCTGACAGGTAATTGAACTGTGACCTTCTGGTTCATAGGTTGATACTCAATCACTGAGTCACACCAGTCAGGCTCATAATTAATAGAAATGTTAAAAGGGTATAGAAATACATGTCATAAATTAAAGTCTATCAAACTAATATGAAATAATCAGTTTTGGATCATCAAATAACTACCCTTGAAAAGAAACACTTAAAAGGAAAATCCCAGAAAAGCAAAAATGACAAAATAAGAATGACAGGGGAAAAATCACAAGTGACAGATGAAATCTACTAAAAATTAATAAAATATAAGACAGTAAGATAGGGGCAATCAAGTAGAGATGTAAAAAACAAAGTACCTGGTGAGAAAACAACTAAACAAACAAATGGGGGGGAAAAAGTGATTTCAACATACAAAAAACAAAGTGGGTACAGATTTTAAAAACATATCTATTGAGCCCAGCTAGTGAGGCTCAGTGGTTGAGCATTGACCTATGAACCAGTTTGATTCCTAGTCAGGGCACATGCCGGGTTTTGGGCTTGATTCCTATGAGGGGCTTGAAGGAGCCTGCAGATCAATGACTCTCTCTCATCATTAATGTTTCTTTCTATCTCTCTCTCTCCCCCTTCCTCTCTGAACTCAATAAAAATTATTAAAAAAAAAATAAAAATGTATCTATTTAGCCAACAATCTAATTTGTGAGACTATATTTTATTTATTTATTTAAAAATATATTTTCTTGATTTTTCACAGAGAGGAAAGAAGAGAGATAGAGAGCCAGAAACATCGATGAGAGAGAAACATGGACCAGCCGCCTCCTGCACACTCCCTACCGGGGATGTGCCCGCAACCAATGTACATGCCCTTGACTGGAATCGAACCTGGGACCTTTCGTCCGCAGGCCGACGCTCAATCCACTGAGCCAAACCGGTTTCAGCATGAGACTATATTTTAAAGAAGGAATTAAGGATCTACACAAAGAGGAAGCAATGAGATGTTCATCATATTGACACTATGATTATGAAAAGTTAGGGAAAAACTAGTTAGCAACATCAAAAGCAGATAAAATGTGACCCAATCACATAATGGAATATTACTTAGTTATTAAAATACAAAGAGAAAATATGAAAACAAGTTTACACAATCATATATTTGATTTCTATAGGAGTAAAGAGATGTTGTTAAGGTGAAATAAGAGGAAAAATTTCAGGGATTTTGTTCTTACTTTTTAAGTTCACTAAAATGTTTTAACTAGATAGTTCCAATACTTCCTGTAAGAAATGCTATTACTTAATATTAATATCTGATTAAAAATTTTTATGATAGAGTAATATTCCTGAAAAGTAAATTTAAAGACAAAAACTGAATTTCACCAGTTTTAACTGATTGTTTTATAGTATACAACTTTTACAATGCAAAAGAATAAAAGCTTACTAACTTTAAAAGTTTACTTAAATTAATTTTCCATGGAGATGAGAAGTGAAATGGAGAACAGAGAAGTGGGCTACTACCTTTCTTTAAAAAAAAAACAAAAAAAACCCCACATTTTTATTGATATTTTTATAGAGGAAGGGAGAGGGATAGAGAGTTAGAAACATCGATGAGAAAAAAACATCAATCAGCTGCCTCCTGCACATCCCCTTCTGGGGATGTGCCCACAAACAAGGTACATACCCTTGACTGGAATCGAACCGGTTAGTGCCCTAACCAGTTTTGCTCAGTGGATAGAGCATTAGCCTGTGGTCTGAAGGGTACAGGCTAATGCTCTATCCACTGAGCAAAACCGGTTAGGGCACTACCTTTCTTTAAAGACTTACAGCACAATTTAATTTTTAAACTATGTACATGTATTACTATGATACAAATTTAAACTAAAATTTAAAAATGAGAAAAAAGTATATATGGAAGGAATTTCACTAAATGTTTGAAAAACCATGGACAATCTTTTTTTCTCCATGGAAAATCTTTTTGAAATAATTTTTTATGCTAAACATTAAGTAAAAATATTCAAAGCACTGAGGACCTTGCAGGAAAAACATACAAATTATTGTAGACCTAAAATATTTCAACAGAGAAACATTATCTTTCTGGACAACAGTTGCATAATGCAGATTTTTGGCTAAAATAAAATGTATAATTAAATTACCTTGGAGGTTGAATTTTGAATTTTTCAAAGACTTCCGGATAAAGTAATGGGAATACCACCATCTCTTTTAGAGCTGCAATATGATTAGACAGACCACCAACACTATCAAATCGTACCTGGTGATGAAAGGGAAATATAGACATTCTTTGATTTGGAGTCAAAGTTAAAATGTTAAAATGCCACTCTATTCCTAAACTATACACAATATATACACAATCAACTGAGTTAACCCTAAAACATATCTTAGTTGTGGTCTAAAGATAAAAAAGAAAAAATCTGTAAAAATTAAACTTTCTGATAAAAAAAAACACCTTTAAAACTAAAGTTAAAGAACACTATTATTACAGTTGAATCACACATTTCAGGACAGTACTCACTGAAGAATCTAATTGCATTGGATCAACATCAGCAAGGCTTGCTCCAATTTTAATTCGATCTTTATAAATTCCTTTTAATTCATCTTTCCGAAAATTTAGTGGCAGGCACCTATTTTTTAAGAAGATGTGAAAAAATATAAACAAAACCATCAACTCACCTTTCTCCCCCAAATGCCATGTTAAAATACACGCATTTTTCTTAAAAATTTCAAAATAAATTAAATTTCAACTAGAGCAATCTTAAGATTATAAATTTCAGTCTCCTCATTTTCTATATGGGTTGAGAATTTGTTAGAAAATAGTTATATCTGAAGCTTTATTATTAAAGACATACAATCAAATGAAAATACCAGTTTTTAAGAAGTTGCATCACCATAAGGTAATTCATGACTGAGAATTCAGATTCTATCAATACACATTATAACTAGAGGCCTGGTGCATGAAATCCATGCACAGGCGGTGGTGGTTGTGGTGGGGAGCCCTCTGCCCAGTCTGAACCCTCTCCAATCTGGGACCCCTCAGAGGATGTCCCTGGGATCGGGCCTAAACTGGCAACTGGACACCCCTTTCACAATCCTGGACCGCTGGCTCATAATCACTCACCTGCCTGCCTGGTCACCCCTAATTAACCCCCCTCCTCCCACTGGCCTGATCGCCCCATGTGTCCTTGACCAGAATTGAACCCAGGACCCTTTAGTCCACAGGCCAATGCTCTGAGCCAAATCAGCTATGGCTGCATTGTTATTATACATTAATTTGTTGTATAATTTTTTAATCAGTCAAGCTGTTCTTATTCCCAAATTATTCAGCTTTCTCACCATTAAAAAAAAAAAGGTGGTACTTTTAAAAGGCTTCAAGTAACATTTACCTGTTGATAGCTCTATTACGACTCCTTTTCCTGCGCCTCTCAAAGTGCTGTTCATCTTCAGAAGAGGAAGAGGAAGTAGAATCACTACTGTGAATTGCATGCCTTCGCCTGAAGTAAAGAAGAAACTAAAATCATGATGAAGAATGACAGGGAAGAAAGGCATAAGATGTAAACATCAGAAATTCCTAATAATCCAAAATGGCTTATCCTAAAATGAATACATTTGCTGAACCAATGAAGTAAGCTTTGTTGGCTAAATCTTTTGAAGGAAATAAAAGACTTGGATAACTAAGAGGAAAGGGAAAAAAGATAAAAGGCTGTGGTAAGCTGACCATCAAATGTTCACTAAGACAGCATACGGTCTAGACCAGTGGTCAGCAAACTCATTAGTCAACAGTACAACGATTGAGATTTCTTTTGAGAGCTAATTTTTTAAAACTTAAACTTCTTCAAAATAGACTCTCCCAGGCCGTGGTATTTTGTGGAAGAGCCACACTCAAGGGGCCAAAGAGCCACATGAGGCATGAGAGCCGCAATTTGCTGACCACGGGTGTAGACAGTTACTCTTAAGTTCTTAGTCTTTATATAAATCAGTTACCCTCAAAGAAAGCTGAGATAAAGAGGGTATTAGAATCTTAGAGACTGTAATTTTAGCAAATTATTTTCAATATTATAGAATATAAAATTTTACATTTGGAAGGGAATTACCTATTTTAAAATGTCAAATAATCTTTGAAGGAGAACATGAGAATTATTATGCAAACCAGAAGGGATCAAGAAGGGTTAAAAAAAATGCTAGGAAACAGGGACAAATAAAATGGTCTTTTATCTACAGTATATCAGCAACTGTAAATTCACAACTACCACTTAACCACTGTGTAAACATAAATGAGTTGCCAAACCCATATCTCAATCTTCTCACACAAAAAAGTTTATAATGAAATTCTTAGCTTGGTTGATAGTATTAAATAAGGTCTCAAGTGCTACGAATAATCAAAGACATTTTAAATCATTTCTACTACATTTTGAACAGTTGCAAAAGACCCACAGGGAAAAACCAAACAAATAAAAAAAGACAAAACACCAAACACAAAAAATCTGGCTGGAAAACCTTTAATTATTCCATTGGCTTCAGGTCTAGAGCTTTTTCTGAGTCAGAGTGCAATCATGGTTAAGTAGGTATTTCCAAAAATATAAAAGGTTCACTTTTCTTTTAAAAAATATATTTTATTGATTTTTTTACAGAGAGGAAGAGAGAGGGAGAGAGTCAGAAACATCGATGAGAGAGAATCATTAATCAGCTGCCTCTTGCACACCCCCCACTGGGGATGTGCCCGCAGCTAATGTACATGCCCTTGACCGGAATCGAACCTGGGACCTTTCAGTCCGCAGGCCGACGCTCTATCCACTGAGCCAAACCGGTTTCGGCAAAGGTTCACTTTTCTGTTGTCTGTATAATGTAGGTCCAAAATCTCATACCTAAAAAATTCTGAACACAAGCTTTTCCATTATACATTTAGCAAAATATGATCTGAAATGTCATTACATAAAGGCAATTCAGTCTCCATTAGTCCCACTTACTATGATTATTCATATGTTCTGCTATAGAATTAATGTATCTGACTAAGGAGTGCTGGCCCAGACACCATTGGAGATGTTTATGTTGCATGTTACCTTTGTAAATCCCCTCTCAAAAATCTGAATTGTGAAGCACCAATGGCCCCTAGAGTTTTGGAAAAAGGGTTATGGAAACAAAGATATAAGTGAGAAAATCCTTCACTGTCCACCTACTCAAACATGTCCAAGAACACCTTTATGATCAGCCTGAAACTAAAACTATCTATCTATATATCTATCTATATATAAAATCCTAAGCAACCGTTACAACCAGTTGACTGAACAACCGGTCAACTGGTCGCTATGACAGACACTGACCACCAGGGGGCAGATGCTCAATGCAGGAGCTGCCCCCTGATAGTCAGTGCATTCCCACAGCCAAACTCCTAAGGTCTCTCCCCTAAGTTGACCAACTTCCCACTGTCCCTCCCTCTGGACTGGGCGAGACAGCCAGGCCAAGGGATCCCACCTGTGCACGAATTTGTGCCCCAGGCCTCTAGTCTAGTATAAGACTGAAATTTTATATTAAAAAACCTACCTATTTTATGTTACAACTAGAGACAAAATTAGAGCATGGGGTCCCTAGGCCTGGCCAGCAATCAGGGCCAATCGGAGCCTTCTGGTTGCTGGACAGGGTCTCCCTTCCCTGGCTGCCAGCCGCTGGCTGGGGCCTTCTTTTGTTCCATGCCACCCCCTGGTGGTCAACACACATCATAATGAGTGATCAAACTCCTGTGGGGACACTTTGCATATTAGCCTTTTATATATATAAATATTATAAAGATTCTAACTTGTAGTCACATAATAATTATATGTGAATTCACATATAATTAAGACTAACTTCACAATTTAAAAAAAGAGACTAACATTTATTAAGTGCTTCTTATACCAAGTAGTTGACGTATTATCCTATATAATAAAGAAGAGGCAAATTGATCCTCACACCCATGTTGTCACAAGATGTCCACCCCCATTGTCACAAGATGGCCAGCAGGGGAGGGCAGTTGGGGGTGACTGGGTTGGCAGGGAAGCAGTCACTTGTCAATCATGCCAATAGGGGAGTGATTAGGTGTCAATCATGCAGGGGAGCAGTTAGGTGTCAATTAGGCTGGCAGTCAGAGTGGTTGGGGCAATCAGGCAGCCAGGCAAGCGAGTAGTTAGAAGACAGCAGTCCCAAATTGTGATAAAAATGTCTGACTACTGATTTAGGCCCCAGCCTGCAAGAATGGGGCCTAAACCAGCAGTGGGACATCCCCCAAGGGGTCCCAGATTGGAGAGGGTGCAGGCTGGGCTGAGGAATACACCCGCCCCACACACACATTGCACAAATTTTGTGCACCAGGCCTCTAGTCTAATATATTAATTAAAACTTTGGAAAAGTACTTATTAGTAGGCTCATTTTACAGTCAGAACTAATGTGGCTCACAGTTTAAAGAACTTGTTCAAAATATCAGAATTAGTCAATGATGGTATCAGCATTAAAACTCATGCCTGTCATCCTAGCCAGTTTGGTTCAGTGAATTGAGTGTCTGCCTGCGGACTGAAGGGTCCCAGGTTCGATTCTGGTCAAGGGCATGTACCTTGCCTGTGGACACATCCCCAGTAGGAGGTGTGTAGAAGGCAGCTGATCGATGTTTCTCTCTCATTGTCTATTCAAAAAATACGCATTCTATACACTACTATACTGGTAATTTCTAGTTGTTTATTTCACAAACCAGTAAAGTTACAAGCAAACAACAAGACTTTGTGGACTGTCATAAAGTTTTCAACATTTGACTTACAAATCTGAATAATTTTAAAACATTCAAGTATAGTTACAATAACAATCACATGTAGCCTTTAATATGTGCCAGATACTATTTTAAAAGGTTTACATGTATTAAGTCATCTAATTCTCACAATATTATGAAATAGGTGCTATTACCCCCATTGTGGGGATCAAAAAACGGAAGCATAGGCTGAAACCGGTTTGGCTCAGTGGATAGAGTGTTGGCCTGTGGACTGAAAGGTCCCAGGTTCGATTCTGGTCAAGGGCATGTACCTTGTTTGAAGACACATGACCAGTAGAAGGTGTGCAGGAGGCAGCTGATCAATGATTCTCTCTCATCAATGTTTCTAACTCTCTACCCTCTCTCTTCCTCTCTATAAGAAATCAATAAAAAAAAACTTATAATAAAACAAAATAATAAAACAAAAAACTGAAGCATAGAGAGGTTACATAACTTGTCCAAAGTCACTAATAAGTGGTGGAACTGAGCTGGCAACATGAGCTGTCGTAATCATGGGTCCAGGTTCTTCATAATTATTCTATACTGAAGAAAGGCCATTATTTCAATTTAAAACAGATTCTAAACATACATATTCATATTTGTGTGTGCACGTTTTTTTTCACTTTATTAAAAACTGTTGAAAAATTTGGCATGGACAAGCACTGTAAGCCTAACTAGAGTGCTATAGTAGCCAGTTGTAGTTCCTTAGCAAGGAAGGAGTACTTTGGAATACTGGTGAGACAACTGTATTATTATATTATCTTCTTGTTCAGAGGGACCAGGCTTGTTCCAGAAACTGCAGATCAAGCTAAAGAATAATCTAGAGGTTATCACTCATAAGGAAGGAAGAAAATCCTGCTTAAAGGCAGTATTCCTGAAGCTCTGCTATGATAAGTTGCCAAAAGACCATTGGAAACTCCCGCACTGTGGCTGAAAGCTTTCTTAACCATTTGCCAAGATACTAAAAGCAATGTATAAGTGATTCTTTGGATGTGTGCTTTGTTTCTGTGCCTAAGTAGTTGTAGTAGAACATGAATATAAACAAAAGCTGGTCTCTTGACTAAAAAATAAAAAGGCTAAGCAAAGCGTCATTAAAGTTGTTAGAAAAAAATTGAGATGTTCATATCACCTTGTGAAGGAAGTTTAAAAAAAAAAAAAAAAAGGTTTAATGGACTACATTCAAAAGGCCAGGTAATTCCAAGTGTTAGAAAGACATGGAGAAATTGGAACTCTGGCTGCTGGGAATGTAAAATGAGGCAGCCATTTGAAAACAATCTGGCACTTTCTCAAAACATTAAATATAGTATTTGACCCAGCAATTCTACTTTTAGGTTTATGCCCACAAGAAATGAAAACATATATCCAAACAAAAAGTTGTATACAAATGTTCACAGTAGCATTATTCATAACAGCCAAAAAGTGGAAACAACCCAAATGTTCATCAAGTGATGAATGGATAAATATGGTATATTTATACAACAGAATCTCACTTGGCAATGAAAAGGAATGAGGTACTAATACATACCACTATACTAATGAACCTTGAAAGTGTTATAACAAGCGAGAGAAGCTAGTCACAAGAGATTCCACTTATATGAAATACCCAAAATAGGCAAATTTATAAAGACAGAAAGTTGACTGGTGGTGGCTTAGGGCTGGGGGGTAGAAATATTGGGAGTGGGGGGTGATAACTAAAATTATTGTGGGCCCTAGTCAGGTAGCTCAGTTGATTAGAGTGTTGTCCCCATATACTAGGTTCAACCCCCAATCAGGGAGTATATAAGAAATCAACTAACGAATGCATAAATAAATGGGATAATAAAATCGATGTTTCTCACTATGTCTTTCAAATCAATCAATAAACACTTTTAAAATAAAAAACATTATGAGATTTTTCAAATAAAATAAATTTACTGTGGTAATAGTTGCACAACTCTGTGAATATACTAAAAGCTATTGAATTGTATACTTTAAATTGGTAAACAATATATATATATGTGAATTATGTCTCAATAAAGCTGATCAAAGAAAAATTGTTTAAAGGATTATCAAAACCAACACCAAGAAAGTCAGTAAGTCACATAATATGACTCTAGAATACATAGTAAATCATAGTTCATACTTTTAATTTAAATGTGCCAGGATCCTCCACTAGTCTATGACATCCAAGGGCAGGAATCCTGGCTTCATCAGTTTTATATCCATAGTACTTGGCACATGGAAGTACTCAAACATTTGTTAAATAATTGGAAGGGGAATGGGGGAAATCCTGTACCCAAGAAGTTATGCAACAATGTGAGACACTTCACATAGAGAAAGTGTAGACTCTTTGAACCAAAAGGGGCAAAAAGTTTCCTACCTTCTACAAGATATACGGTAGGTGGTGATTGTAGAGGTAGTCAGTCAACAAGTATGTTATTTCCAGTATGCTACTTCCAGCAAAGATGAGGGAAGAAATTAAATCTCAAAGAAAATGCCAGCCTCTCACTTCTGCTGAATCAAATAGAGATCTGTCCCTTGAGTCAGGCAACCAAGAACTGCCTGGGCCTTATGATTGTTGGGAATTCCAGGGAGCAATATGCTTTACTCTCCTTTTCTGAAGATAATTAAATTTCACTATCAAAATAATGGTATTTAACAAGGAACCTATGAAAAATATTGACAATGTGGCCTCCTTTCAAGTGCAATTTATCTTGAGTTTGCCTTCCTGGTCTTCTAGTTGTGAGAAAAGGAATGATGATACAAGAAATCTAGAATGTACAATTATGACTTTGGCACTCTGAAAATTAAAAAGACACAGGGACACAGATTTATTTTATATTTTTCCTAAAAGACAGGAAATTTGTCAGCACCTACAAAGGTGTTGCCTTCCATGACCAAAACATGATCAGATAGTCTGCTTCTGGGAGGAGTCTTTTAAGAACTGTTCAAATAGCTGAATTCTCACAGGACTTCAGTCTCACTTCTGAGCAAATTACTATTAGGAAAAAAGTGCCATTTCCCACCCTGGTGTCATTTTTTCCTGCCCTTTTAGTTTTCTCTAATAAGCTCTCTCACTCATGAGCAACTACAATGTTACTATTATCCAGAAAGTTCTAAGAGGTCAGAAAAACTTTTACTACTTAGGAGAAAGAGGAAATAGCAACAATTACCTCTTTGGATTTAAATATAAAAAACAAGCAACAGAAGTTGGGATGTGGAAGATAAAAGAAACACACAAATAATTTAAATAGAGAAAATTAACACTACATATATAAAATAAACAAATTTTTAAGATCGATCCAGAAAAAGAGGGTCAGAGTCGTGACAAATCTAGAAGCAATGTAACTTTTCATCTTAGGAAAATATATTTGTGATAGTATGTGGAGACAAAATTAAACCTATATTTAACTTAATGTAAAGATTAAAGAAAATAGTCTACATAAAATGCTTAATACCAAGCTAGGAATACAGTAAACACTGAAGCAAAGGAAGCTCTCTATTATTAAAGTGTGGAACAACAGAGTAAACTACCTTACCATGGTAGTTACTAACAATTCCTATTAGTGGAAGCAAAAACTAGTCAGTGGTAGTAGAAATTAAAGCACTACAGGCAGAGTTAACTACTTCCCCAAATATACAATTCTAGAATTCTATTCTGATATCCTCAATCCCAAGACTCTAGAATCCTACCGTAACATAGCCACAATTATGTCATAAGTCAATTACTACTTCAAAACCAAACCTGTTCATTCGTTTGCAGTAAGGGCTTCTTGGTCCCGCAGAAGATAATCGATATCTTGATCTGGCAGGAGAAGCTGGGCCACTATAAAATATGTTGGGCTTTCTCTGGTGACGAGGTTCTAAAAGAAAGAGTTAGAATGTACGTGACATATGAATATGTTTGAAGGTAATTTTGTTCTTCATATAAACACTTCAAAGGTGCTGCCCCTTCCATGAAAATATTAGTACACACCTACTATAGAATATTCTACAATTCATATTTCCAATCATTTATGTCTGCAGGGCTACTACTGAAAATATGTATAGCACATACACTAACAAACCAAACATACACTGACCATAAATGACCATTATGATTATACTGTTAACAGCTCACTATCAGTTAACAGCTCACTATCAGTACTGCATGAGGCACAACTATCATAAGCATTGAGGCACAACTTTAACATAAACAATAAGCAGTTATATTTATATAAACTGACAAATTAAGTAGAAAGCTGTATGATATAAAATAATTAAAGACAGACATGAAATTTCAAAACAGCTCAATTATTTGCTTTGGGTAATAACTAAAATTTAACTCTTTTTCGAAGAATTGATTTATTGCACTTTTAAGATAGGTTAAGAAAAACAAAAACTATGTGTATTATGCAAAATAAAAACTAAAAAAATAATAAAAGAGGAAGGGCAGAAAGACAAAGGTAATAAAATTATATCTCCTGGGGAAAAAATAGCACTTACTTTCCAATGGAGCCTGGTAGTAAACAGTAGCTTTTCTCTGTCTAAGATAATATCGTTTCTGATTATCTTCTTCTCCATCTTCTTCATCTTCATCATCTTCCTCTTCACCATCATCTTCATCTTCTTGGTCTTCACCCTCTTCAGATGATTCTACAATTTAAAAATATTTATTAGGATAATCACACCAAAAAGTTAACACTTTTTAACATAGGATAACTAAGAGACCCTTCTGTTAAAATATATTTACTTCTAGATTATTCTTCTTCTTTTAAATATATTTTTATTGACTTCAAAGGGGAAGGGAGAGGGAGAGATAGAAACATCAATGATGACCGGGACCGGTTTGGCTCAATGGATAGAGTGTCGGCTTGGGGACTGAAGGGTCCTGGGTTCGATTCTGGTCAAGGGCATGTACCTTGGTTTCGGGCATATCCCCAGTGGGGGGTGTGCAAGAGGCAGCTGATCGATGACTCTCTCTCATCGATGTTTCTAACTCTCTATCTCTCTCCCTTCCTCTCTGTATAAAATCAATAAAATATATTTAAAAAAAAAAAAAAAAAGAAAGATCAATAATGAGAGAGAATCATTGATCAGCGGCCTCCTGCACATTCCCCACTGGGGATTGTGCCCATAACTTTGGCATGTGCCCTGATAGGGAATCAAAGAGTGACCTTCTGGTTTATAGATTGATGCTCAACCACCAAGCCATACCAGCCGGGCTCTTCTAGCTTATTCATAAAAAAAAATCTAATTTTTTCTTTACATTTTTTTTTTTATTGATAGATTTCAGAGAGAGAGGGGAAAGGAGAAACATCAATTTGTTATTCCACTTATTTATGTATTCATTGATTGCTTCTTGTATAAAATAATCTAATTCTGCCCTAGTTGCTTTGGCTCAGTGGATAGAGCATTGGCCTGAGGACTGAAGGGTTCTGGGTTTGATTCTGGTCAAGAGCACATGCCTGGGTTGAGGGCTTGATCCCCAGTAGGGGGTGTGCAGGAGGCAGCTGATCAATGATTCTCTTTCATCATTGATGTTTCTCTCTCTCTCTCCCTCTCCCTTCCTCTCTGAAATCAATAAATATATATCTACACTAATAAAAGAGAAAGATGCAAATTGACTGTACCTCCACAGTGCTCATCTGCCAATCAGGAGTGAGTATGCAAATCAAATTAACCCAACAAAGATGGCAAGTTAATTTGCATACACAAGTGCCGAGCAGCCAGAGGTGACAATGCAGGCATTGTGCACTGCCCCAGCAGCTCTGGGCCTCTGGGCAGTGTGGGAAGGCAGAAAGGTGGCTCTGGCCAGAGCAAAGGCAGAGCCGGCAGCCAGGGGAAGGAAGGCCCATTCTTGCACGAAATCTTCATGCATCAGGCCTCCAGTGTGTGTGTGTGTGTGTGTGTGTGTGTGTGTGTATATGTGTGTATGTATGTGTGTGTGTATATATATATATATATATATATATATATAATTCACAACATTAAATAACTTTTTAATGAAAAAAAATAATTTAAAATTAAAAACAACTAGAGAAAGAAAAAAGGAACTAGAGAAAAAAAATTTAAAGGCTACTGTTAGCCCTGGCCAGATAGCTCAGTCAGTTAGATTGTCATCCTGATACACCAAAGTGGCAGGTTCAGGTCACATACAAGAATCAACCAATGAATGCATAAATAAATAGAACAACAAATCAAGAGTTTCATTTTCTCTCACTCTTTCTCAAATCAATAAATAAAAATTTTAAAAATAAATTAAAAATAAAGGCTACTGTCAGTAGGTACCAAATTGAAGTCTATGATATTACTGCTAATTTCATAAATACAGATAACTATACTTAAGCTTCAAATAAATGTAACATGTTGACAAATTTAAGTATCTCCTTATTTAGCTTTTTGCCTTTAAATTTCAGTTTGGATATTTTATCCAGCTTTTCTGGCTGTCACTGAGTTACATAAGAGAATAACTCAAATAATCTACTTATGATCATTTAAACACCAAACACTTAAAATGCATTTCCGACAACTGGTTTTCACTCAAGAAAATTTCTAACAGAGTATAGTAATAAGTCCTAAACAGAAGAGCAAAACTTTAATAATTTCTTTTAAAAATAAAAACAGATAAATACGTTATCTGGAGATATGTTATCTTGTATTATATAAGAAAACCAGTTTTATTGCTTTAGAATAGTTGACTTCAAATACATTCCCAAATACTATCCTTTAAGCTCTCCCTGCCCTTACTTTTTTCTTTTAAATTGTGACCACTGCCCTGGCTGGTTTGGCTAAGTGGATAGAGCATCAGCCTGCGGACTGAAGGGTCCCCGAGTTCGATTCCAGTCAAGGGCACATGCCTGGGTTTTGGGCTGGATCCCCAGTAGGGAGCATGTGGAAAGCAGCTGATTAATGGTTCTCTCCCATCATTGGTATTTCTCTCTCTCCCTCTCCCTTCCTCTCTGAAATCAATAAAAGATATTAAAAAATAATAATAAAAATAAATAAATGATCACTACTCTGATCTCTCCCAAACTACTATAAAAGTCAGAGCTTTTGAATAAAAAGGCTACATTCTACTAAATAAAAGTACTCATATTAAAATTCAGGGACAGAACAAGAGAAAAGACTAACCCACACTGCCTTCTTGATTATCAGTTGTTTCTTCATCAGTTCTTTGAATACTTTTTTGTTTTCCTCTTGTGTACATATTAAGATTCCCCTAAAAACATTTAAATAAAAGCCATTAACATTTAGTACACTTATTTAAGAAATTCAATAGTACCTTCCAATATTGCTTAAAATAAATATATTTACAGCCATAAACTCTTACAACTCTAGCAATAACTAGCGACTAGTCAAACAAATGCTGAATAAAACGATCAATTTAACAACAAAAAAAAAAACAAAAAAATGTTAAAGATTATTAAATCATCCCCTCGATGGAAAAATATATTTACTTCTTCTGTTTCATTAAACACTGTCAAGTCTTCTAGTCCTCTCATTCGCCGTCTACGCATCTTCTTCATGTCATCCATTTTTTGAAGTACAGCTTCAGCAGTGCTTAAAAAAAAATTATATAAATAAGCTAACACTGTAAAATATTGCATTTTAAAAAACTTAATTTTCCTTCCACTGTATTCTTTGAGTACTAGCATTTTAAATATCTCTATCTCTTAATTTACTTGGATATTTTTTATATTTTTAAAAATAATTTATGTATACAGAATTATTATAAAGTCCTCTAGTAATCGTTCTCCTTTATGCTTAATATAAACTAAATGTATTAAATATTCAGGCTCATTAAAATTTATGACCCCTCCCCAACAAAAAGTTTTTGTCACCTAAATCATCTTGATCTAAATAATTTTCACTTACTTTGTTATAAGTTTATCAAATAGCACAGACTGGTTCACACTACTGTAACGACTTCTAATCCTACAACTGCGGCGAACTTCAACATCACCATTCTCTTCATGCAAGTGTTCTGGAGTCTGAACAATGTTTCTAGTCCTCAATGACCGAGTAACTGGAATTACTTTGTCTTCATAGATGAATACATGAAAATAAGTAGAAATAGAAATAGCACTTTAAAAAGAACTCTAAAATAAACGACTGAACAGCTACAATTTCACATAACAGAATTATAGTATCTTGAACTTAGCTTTTATTAAAATATTAGAAAACAAAATTGAAGTTACAACATATTCTTATCATATAGTCCAGCCATTCCATTCTCAAGAGAAAAGGAAAGATGTATATATAACACAATGACTTGGACACAAATATTTAAAGCAGTTTTGTGCTAACACCAAACTGAAAATAACCCAAACATCCAACAAAAGATGAATAAAGAAATTGGGGAGAATGGGAGAGAAAGAAAGAAATTGTGGTAAACAACCTAATTGCCCATCAATGGATGAATGGATAAAGAAGACATGGAGTGCTGGCTAGTGTAATCAGTGGTTAGAGGGTCAGCCTGTGCACTCAAGTATCTCAGGTTTGATTCCCAGTCAAGGGTTGTAGATTTGATCCCCTCCCCACTCAGGGTGTGTGTGGGAAGCAACTAATCGATGTGTGTCTTTCACATAGATGTGTTTCTCTCTCTCTTCCCCCTTCCCTTCCACTCTCTAAAAGTCAGTGAAAAAAATATTCTCAGGTAAGGATTAACAAACAACAACAACAAAAAAGAAGAGGAATATAGTTAGTCTTCACGTAATACTCTTCCAAATAGGTCCTGTGGCTTTAAGCAAAATGACACAAAATGAAACCAATTTTACATTAGGCTAATTAAAGAATTAAGTTCCGCCGAAACAGGTTTGACTCAGTGGATAGAGAGTCGGCCTGCAGACTGAAAGGTCCCAGGTTCGATTCCAGTCAAGGGCATGTACATTGGATGCAGGCACATCACCGGTAGGGGGTGTGCAGGAGGCAGCTGGTCGATGTTTCTCTCATTGATGTTTCTAGCTCTGTCCCTCTTTCTCTCCCTTCCTCTCTGTAAAAAAATCAATAAAAATATATATTAAAAAAAAAAAGAATTAGGTTCCTACAGCCTCTCATCAATGCAATAAAAGAAGAGGTTAGCCCTGAAAAGTGTGGCTAAGTTAATTCTGCATTGTCTTGTGCACCAAAAGGTTGACGGTTTGACTCCCGGTCAGGGCATATGCCCAGGTTTCGAGTTCCATCTCTGGTAGGGGGCCTACAGGAGGCAGCCAATCAATGTTTCTCTCTCTCTCCTTACCTCTCTCTCTAAATATCAATAAGAATATTAAAAAAGAAACTACATTAAACAAAATGACATTATTCGAGGACCTGCTGTATACACACAATGAACTATTATGAGAAAGAAGGACTTTGCAATAACACGGATGAACTTTGAGAGCATTATGCTAAGTGAAATATGTTAGATGGAAAAAGAGAAATGCCACATAATATCACTTATATGTGGAATCTAAAAAAGCTAAACTCATAGCAAGAGACAAAGATGCTGGTTGCCAAGGGCTGGATGGTAAAGGTTAAAGAGAGATGTTGGTCAAATAGTACAAATTTCTAGCTATGAGTAAGTTCTGAGGATCTACAGAAGAGTGATTATAGTTAATGCTATTGTAATACTTAATAGTTAAGAGAGTAGATCTTAAATATTCTCACCACAATAAATAGTAATCATATGACAAGATGCAGGTGTCAGCTAAGCTATTTTAGTAATCATTTTGAAATACATAGGAGTAATCGAATCAATATTCCTTTAACACTTTAAACTTATACATCATTATATGTTAACTAGAGGCCTGGTGCATGAAATTCACGCATGTTGGGGGCCAATGTTCCTCAACCTGGCCTGCATCCTCTCCAATCTGGGACCCCTCGGGGGATGTCTGACTGTGGGTTTAGGCCTGATTCATCATTCATTGCACATCCCTCTAGAGTGAACATCTGCTCTAGAGAGCAGATGGACATTCCTTACAATCCAGGACTGATGGCTCCTAACTGCTTACCTGCCTGCCAGTCTGATTGCCCCCTAACCACTCCTGTGCCGGCCTGATTGACACCTAATTGCTCCCCTGCCGGCCTGGTTGCCCCCAACTGCACTTTCTTGCCAGCCTGGTCACCCCAAACTGCTCTCCCCTGCCAGCCTGATCACCTACAACTTCCTTCCCCTGCCGGCCAACTTGTGGGGAGAATCTTTTGATGACGTTGCAGTTGCAATTTTGTGACAATGTATCATGACTCCACCTAGGCTTGTATTATATAGCACTAGAGGCCTGGTGCACAAAATTTGTGCACAGGGGTGTGTGTCCTTTAGCCCAACCTGCACCCTCTCCAATCTGGGACCCCTCAGGGATGTCCGACTGCCAGGCCTTTAAACAGGCAGTTGGACATCCCTCTCACAATCCTGGACTCCCAATTGCTTGCCTGCCTGCCTGCCTGATTGCCCCTAACCACTCCCCTGCCAGCCTGATTGTCCCCAATTGCCCTCCCCTGCATATTTCCTCTTTATTAGGTAGGGGTTTTTCTTTAACATATTGGACAGCCCTAACTGGTTTGGGTCAGTGGATGGACCAACAGCCTGCAAATTCAAGGTTTGATTGCAGTCAAGGCCATGTACCTTGGCTGGGGACACATAACCAGTGGGGACTGTAGAGAAGGCAGGTAATTGTTATTTCTCTCTCATAGATGTTTCTAGCTCTCTATCCCTTTCCCTTCCTCTCTGTAAAATATCAATAAAATATATATATATAAAATAAGAAACCTTTAAGATTCTCCCATATCTGCCTGGCTGGTGTGACTCAGTGGCTCAGAACCCAGCTGGAGCAGGGGGTGATCATTGTGTGGGTCCGCATGCTGCTACCAGCCTGAGACCCCAGGCTGGGGGCATGGACCCAAACCACTACATTCGCAAGTGGCTGTGGGCGGGGCAGGAATGTCCCCACAGGACGTTCCTGCCCCACCCACAGCCGCTTGACACCTGCACTCATAGGCTCCAAGTGGCCAAGGGGCATTCTGGGACTCCTGCCGCTCAGGGCCTAAACATAGGCCTACAGGCTAGGAGTGGCCTGGGTCTGGAGGATGTTTCCGGGACACAGGCTGCTCAGCACCTGAGTATGCAAATTAACCGCAATCTTTGTTGGATTAATTTGCATACTGGCTCTGACTGGCTGTGGATGTAGTGAAGGTACAGTCAATTAGCATTTTTCTCTTTTATTAGTGTAGATTATATTACAATAAAACTGGTGGGGTGGACAGAAGGGACAGGACAAATTGTGGTATCTATAATAACAAAAGTGTAATATGCTAATTAGATTGGATGTCCTTCGGGACAACCTTCTGGAAGAAGCCAGAGCTGTGAGGGAAGCCCGGGTCCTGGGTGCCTGCTGGTGGCCAGAGGGAAGCCCATGACGGCAGCCAGGGGAAGGAAGGCCTACTCTTGCATGAATTTTGTGCATTGGGCCTCTAGTATCTATATAATGGAAAACTGTTCAGCAACAAAGGCAACAACATAGATGGAAATCTCAAAGTACAATAATTATGCTGTGTAGCCAGACCATAAAAGAATGCATACTACATAATTCTACTTATAGAATTATGAAATTATAAGTAGAGTATGCTAGAAAATGCAAATGAATTGATAGTGACAAAAAGCAGATTGGTGGATATTCAGGAACTTTGGGGGACAGAGGGCATGGAGAAGGTTGGGGGGTCAAGAGGGATAAAGGGCCTGAGGAAATCTGTTGGGGAAGGGGGGGTGACGGTTATCTTTACTACCTTATTGTGGTGATGTCACAGCATATACTTTTGTCAAAATCAAACAAACTGTATACTTTAAATAAGGGAAGTTTATTGTATGTATTACAATGCACCTATAAACAAAACATTATGTTCTTTAAACATTCAAAATGACTTCAGTCCTGGCCAGTGTTGCCCAATAATTAGAGAGTTGGCCTTCACTCCAAAGGATCTCAAGTTCAATCCTGGTTAAGGGCACATACCTGGGTTGTTCCCTGACCCTGGTTGGGGTAAGTGTGGGAGGCAACTGATCAATGTATCCCTTTCACACCAATGTTTTCCTCCCTTCCTCTCCTTCCCTCCCTACCTATCTAAATTCAATGGAAAAATACCTTAGGTAAGAATTAACAACATCAAAAATGCCTTTAACATTACTTACCTTTTTTGCTTTCTTCTTTTTTTTTATCAGCCTGCTGTCTGGCCAACTGCCTATTGAAAAAAAATTAATTCAAAATAATTGACATAATTTTAAATCCTCTATTTCATAATATACAAAGTAGGACAAAAATTTAAATCAGTTTGGAAAGTAAGTAACTGTAGATACATAAAAACCTAAAAACACTAAAAAAATAGCTTGAAAATATTTATGCTTACATAAATTACTAGAGGCCCAATGCATGAATTTCGACATTAGTGAGGTCCCTTGGCCTGGCCTGCGGGATCAGGCCAAAACTGGCTCTCCAACACCCCCCGAGGAATCCCGGATTGCGAGAGGGTGCAGGTCAGGCCAAGGGACTCCACAGGTACACGATCAGGGCAGAACGCAGGAGGTTGGCTAGCTGGGCTGGATTGTGGAAGGGCTCCAGGGTGTGTCTGGCCTTTTTTGCTCAGTCCCCATTGGCTGAACCCCAGCAGCAAGCTAACCTACCAGTTGGAGTGTCTACCCCCTGGTGGTCAGTGCACATCATAGTGATAGGTTGAGCAGCCTTAGCATATCATTAGCATATCATGCTTGGACTGGTGAATGGATGACCAGACAACTGGACACTTAGTATATTAGGCTTTTATTATATAGGATGGCTAACAAAGTCTGAAAAACCTGTTGTGAAACAGGCTCATAGAATTTTCATAAAAAGAGCCATCCTTCCATACCATGTAGGTCTATTTTTATACACTAGGTTCCAATTAGAAACTAGGGACACAATGATTGAAGGGGTGTTTTACTTTTCCTTTCCTTTTTGCCTACTGAGGAAGGGAAGCACTTTTTCCCTTATAGCAGTTGGTAAGCTATAAATAGTAAATATGTTAGGCTCATATGCCATATAGTTTCTATTACAAACATTCACACAACTCTAGCTTTGAAGGAGGAAAGCAATCATAAACAGAATGAATGGGCTTGGGCATATTTCAATAAAACTATTTATAAATGACATTTTATAACCTTAGAATCTTGATGAGCAGTTAAGAATACACTTAAAAATTAAATGCAAATCCTAAAATGTTACTTTAATACTATTATGATTTAGCATTCAGAAAACTTGTATTACCTTGTAAAATGCCTGCCATTAGCATGTTTCTCTGTTACTTCCATATTCTTATCAAAACTAGAATCTGAAGAATTTTGTGCATTTTTTCTCAAAGTCCTTAAAACACGTTTCCGGTGGTAGGTTTCAACTTCCTTAACCGAAGACCCATCCTTCAAGAAAAATTGAGAAGGTCATCTAAGTTTTTTTTTTTTTTTTTAAAGATATTTTATTGATTTTGTACAGAGAGGAAGGGAGAGAGAGAGTCAGAAACATCGATGAGAGAGAGTCATCGATCAGCTGCCTCTTGCACACCCCCTACTGGGGATATGCCCGCAACCAGGGTACATGCCCTTGACCGGAATCGAACCCGGGACCTTTCAGTCCCCAAGCCGACGCTCTATCCATTGAGCCAAACCAGTCCCGGCATCTAAGTTTTTATTTGGTAAAAATTCCCAAGTTAAATTACTCCAAGAGTGTTCTCTGATTATAAGTTTGTACAACTGCTTTTTGTGCAGAATCATTTTTGTATCTTCCCAACAGTATCTAGAATTATTTTATGATATCAGCAATGTCTATGAAATGGCTAATATAAGACATCGATTTTAAAAATATATATATTTTTATTGATTTCATAGAGGAAGGGAGGTGATAGATAGAAACATCAATGATGAGAGGAAATCACTGATTAGCTGCCTCCTGCATGCCCCTACTGGGGATCAAGAATCCGCAGGCTGCCCTGGCTGGTTTGGCTCAGAGGATAGAGTGTTGGCCTGTGGATTGAAGGGTCCCAGGTTCAATTCCGATAGGGGGCATGTGCCTTGGTTGCGGGCACATCCCCAGTGGGGGGTGTGCAGGAGACGATGATGTTTCTCTCTCATCGATGTTTCTAACTTTCTATCCCTCTCCCTTCCTCTCTGTAAAAAAAATCAGTAAAATATATTAAAAAGAAAAAGAATCAGCAGGCTGACGCACTCTCCACTGAGCCAAACCAGCTATGGCAAGATTTACTGATTATTGAGGCTTATAGTTCTATTTCACAGAAAGTATTTTAGAAAGAAGTTTTCCAGCACTGAAAAAAAAAAGTTGTGATAGTTCATAACAGTAAGTACTCCTTTTTTAAGGCTACAGAAATTAGAAAGATACACACACACCACTGTCTGTCATGCAATCATTGATAGCAATCTTAAAATAACTAGGCAATCAGAATTATAATTTTGGCTTGAAAGACAAAAAGGAGTTACCTATTTCACCCAGATAATGCAACAACTGAATTCAAAGACTGTTTAGGTAAATTAATCTATTATAAAAACCAGAGTTTTATGTAACTATTTTTTGCACAATAGACTTCATAAGCTACAGTTTCTATCATAAACTATTCAAAAGTTCATATATACCTCATGAATAAAGGATACTTTTACATTAGAGGGCTAAAGTACCTAACAACTCTACAATTTAACTAGAGGCCTGTTGCATGGATTCGTGCGCTGGTGGGGTCCCTCGGCATAGCCTGTGGGGATTGGGACAAAACCGGCAGTCCAACACTGCCTGCTGCTCCTGCCTGCCACTCCTGCTCATCCCAGCCCCACTGCACCTGCCGCCACTCCATTATGGTCTCCGTGCTGTGGCAGCCAGCCATGAATCCTATGTCTGATACCTGCTGGTCAGCTGAGTGGTACTCCTGCTGTGGTAGTTCACTGACCATCAGGGGGTGCAGCTCCTGCATTGAGCATCTGACCCCTTGTGGTCAGTGTGCATCATAGTGACCGGTCATTTAGGCTTTTACATATATATATATATATATATATATATATATATATATATATATATGGAGGGGGGGGGGAGACTAGAGGCCCCTATGGAGGGGAGGGAGGTGTCCCTCAGCCCCGACTACACCCTCTCCAATCTGGGACATCTCTCTCACAATCCAGGACTGCTGGCTCCCAACTGCTCACCTGCCTCTCTTCCTGATTGCCCCTAATTGCTTCTGCCTGCCAGCTTGATTGATGCCTAACTGCTTCCTGACATTCCTGACAGCCTGCTTGTCCCTAACTGCTCTCCCATGCAGGCCTGGTCCCAACTCCTCTCCCCTGTAGGCTCAGTCACCCCCAACTTCCCTCCTCTGCCAGCCAGGTCATCCCTAACTGCCCTCCCCTGCAGGTTTGGTCTCTCCCAACTGCCCTCCCCTGCAGGTTTGGTCTCTCCCAATTGCCCTCCCCTGCTGGCCATCTTGTGTAGGAATGATGGTCAATTTGCATATTACTCTCTTATTAGATAGGATAGAGGCCTGGTGCACAGGTGGAGGCCAGCTGGTTTGCCCTGAAGAGTATCCTGGATCATGGTGGGTGTTCCCTCGAGGCATGGGGCAGCCTGGGTGAGGGGCCTGTGGTGGTTTGCTGGCCGGCCACACCCCCGTCAACCCAAGATGGAGACCCTGGTATCTGGGGCTTATTTATCTTCTATAATTGAAACTTTGTAGCCTTGAGTGGAGGCCTGGGCCAGCCAGAGTGTGCAGAAAGCTTGGCTTTCTCCATCATTGGGGAAACCCAAGCCTCCTGCCCGTAGCCATCTTGGTTGGGTTAATTTGCATACTCACCCCTGATTGGCTGGTGGGCATGGCTTGTGGGTTAATTTGGGTATAACTTTTATTAGATACCCTGTTTCCCCGAAAATAAGACAGTGTCTAATATTAAAGTTTGCTCCCAAAGATGTGCTAGGTCTTATTTTCAGGGGATGTCTTATTTTTCCATGAAGAAGAATACAGTACACATTTATTGTTAAATGAAAATAAAGGAAATTTATTACCTGTATATGTATGGTAGTACGGTAGTTGTCAACACAAACCAGACAAACTGTGAATCCTACAGTATCAAGAATTTACTCATTTATTCAATGACAATCATGTCATCATCTTCTGGAACATCATCATAACAATCCAATTCCTGAATTTCCTGCTGAATTTTTTGTGACTCCATTTCTTTCAGAATCAGTGGACCAAATCTCTCATGTTTAGCCTACGGGGGGCCTTATTTTCGGGGGGATACCTTATATTTCACTTAGAAGGAAAACTGTAAGTAGGTCTTATTTTCAGAGGATGTCTTATTTTCAGGGAAACATGGTAGTATAGATGCCTTACTACTGTGAAAATTGATAAGGTTGGAAAACCAGGAAGTGTTTAAAAATTAATCCTCCCTGTCCCCATAATCTTTACCCAATTATTTCATTTTATTGAGACACTGTCATTTGATTTTGTTTTGGCCAGAATACTTTATCACAAAATAAAGATATGTATACAAGGATTTGTGTGATAACTGGGAAAATACTTAGTAAAATACTAAGTCATATGTACGATTTGTTAATACTTTTATCAGTGTACCTTTATATGATACATGGGTGAGCAAAGTAGGTTTACAGTTGTAATACAAATTATATAATAATTAATAAATAATAAACTATTTTGTGTATTCACAACTGTAAACCTACTTTTGCCCATCCCTATATTTAAGGACGTTTGAAATAAAAAAAAAAAAGATACCTACACTTTTAGGTAAGTGTATTATTTTTAAAAGAAACACCTATATCTTGATGGGTGGTAACATAAGATTTTCCAAGGAAAATTTGAGAATATTTCCAGATTCTGAACTTCCACAGGTACTTTTTCTTAAAACTGACTTGCCTGAGAAAGCAACCTTAACTAACAAGGCACCCTCTTTCATTTACCCAGAGCCCTATCTCTCTCTCATTTTGAATTTTACTATTGTTAACTGCCTTTAGGCATTACAAACCTTCACAAAGGCAAACAAAGAAAACACTAGAGTAGGTGTTAAGTAATTAAATGACTAAACTAAGCAACAAAATCCTTATCTTTGACTGTAAGAGGTTTCCAATTCTTTTTTCAAAGTTGAAAAAAAGACCTAAATAAGCTAAGAGACCATTAAAAATAAATTTTGGCAAATGATTTTTGGCATAAAAGCCAGAAAAACTGAATAGCACTACTAAACAAATTTCTTTCATTACATTCTACTTATTTGTATGAATGTTTTCAGTGCTTAAAATTATAAAAACAATGGAACGGATATCAAACACTGTCTATAGCAATAAAATTTATCTACAGATACAAGAATTGGGTGGGCAGAATTTCACACATGAAATCCTAATGAAATCTTACTTCCCATGCTTAATCATGTTAATCAAAATGTTTGTTGTTTTGGTCAGTTGAATAGTAATTTTAATTCAATACACAAAAATTTTATATCAGAGCCTTATGAGCATAGAAAAGTAGGAAAAAAAAATTCAAATTTTGTTTTACAAATATATAACCGGTTTGGCTCAGTGGATAGAACTTCGGCCTACAGACTCAAGGGTCCTAGGTTCGATTCCTGTCAAGGGCATGTATTATACCTTGGTTGTGGGCACACTATCCCTTTCCCTTCCTCTCTGTAAAAAAATCAATAAAATATATTTTAAAAATTGGGATAATGCTATTCATGTTTTGTAACTCTTTTCTAGTAATACAAACATTTCCCAATGTTGTGAAATATTATTCTAAAATCTTTTTAAATGAATCAATAGTATTCTACCCATTACATAAATGCATTTAACAAATTGCTTAATACATCACACTTAGGTTATCTGCAATTTTTGTGTGTCATAGATAAATTATCTTATGTACATTTGATTCCCAAAGAAAACTAACACAATTATTAAATCAAAATAATTCTCAAGAGGTAAGTTAAGTTAAAAGCCAACTCATAATGGCAATTAACACTGAATGATAAAAATGGGGACTTTCACTTCCTATTTTTTACAATATGCAGTACCAGAAAAAGTTTCCCTAAGAAGTAAAAAACAAAGAGAAAACAATCTGAAAACAAATAAGCCTGGAGATGTAATGCCCTCATTTATTCTTTGGCTAAAACCTACTTAATTATTGAGAGCACTGATAATTCTTTAAAAGTGTTAAAAGAGGAAAAAAATATTGTTAGATTATAAGTCTATTACAAGTTTTTAAAAAAATCTCCCATATGTTGTACACATCAAAGTCGAGTTAGAATGTCTTTTCTAACTTTTAAGTAAATATACAATGAAAAAAACAGTATGTTCCAGAGGCTATAGCATGTTTTACTTTACCTAACTTAGAGAATAAAAAGTGTACATAAACACAATCCAAAAGTAACAATCATCACCAAACTCTTTACTATCAATCTTTAACTGAGTCTTCAGTGTCAAAAACAACCCTAAATTTAATAAATCAGAGCCCAGACCTGAGAAAGCAAAGAAACAGACAATGGCTAGTGTAACTCTGAAGGAAAAAGATACCAGAGGGAGCATCTAAACTCATAGTAAATATAAGCAAAATTTTAAAAAATTAAAACAAAAAATTCAGAGAATCCATACAAATCAGGAGAAAAAATCCTTAACCCCAGTTGTGTGAGATCATATTCAAAACATAGAGAGATACTGCTGATCCTCATAGCCAATTGGCTTGGAGATCAACTCTCCCCAGTGATACCAACAACAAGCAAGGCTTAACAACAAGACTGCACACACAGCCCACAAAGGGTTGCACCAAGACTGTCAACCTCAGGTAAATGGGAAAGCTGAGCTATTGGGCCCTGCTAGGATGGGCACCTAGTACACAAAGCTACTCCATCAACTCAGGGAAACAGCTAAAATGCAGAGGAGAGGTAGTCCACAAAGGAAGGAAATGGAAGAAAGCAAAAGAATGGACATAAGAGTTCAAAACCACAGTTATAAGGTTTTTTCAAGAACTTCCTAGAAAAGGCCGATAAAATAAACGAGACCTTAAAGGATATGAAAAGCGATCAACTAGAAATAAAGCATACACTGACTGAAATAAAAAATATACAAAATAAAAACAGACTGGAAGATCGCAAGAATCAAGTCAAAGATCTGGAACACAAAGAGCCAGAGGACATTCCTCCACAGAAGCAAGAAGACAAGAGAATCCAGAAAGTTGAAGATAGTTTAAGAAGCCACTGGGACAACTTCAAGCGAACCAACACCAGAATTATGGGGGTCCCAGAAGAAGAGAGAGAGCAAGATACTGAAAACCTATTGGAAGAAATAGTGACAGAAAACTTCCCCCACCTGGTGAAAGAAATAGACTTACAAGACCAGGAAGCGCACAGAACCCCAAACAAAAGGAATCCAAAGAGGACCACACCAAGACATCATAATTAAAATTCCAAGAGCAAAAAGACAGAGAGAATCTTATAAGCAGTAAGAGAAAAGCAGTTAGTTACCTATAAAGGAGCACCCATACGATTGTCAGCTGATTTCTCAATAGAAACCATGCAGGCCAGACAGGAATGGCAAAAAATATTCAAAGTGATGAATAGCAAGAACCTACAACCAAGATTACTCTACCCAGCAAAGCTATCACTCAGAATTGTAGGCCAGATAAAGCGCTTCACAAATAAGAAAAAGCTAAAGGAGTTTATCACCACCAAAACAGAATTATATGAATGCTGAAAAGTATTCTTTAAGAAGAGAAAGAAGCCAAAACCGGTTTGGCTCAATGGATAGAGCGTCGGCTTGGGGACTGAAAGGTCCCAGGTTCGATTCCGGTCAAGGGCATGTACCTTGGTTGCGGGCATATCCCCAATAGGTAGTGTGCAAGAGGCAGCTGATCAATATGACTCTCTCTCATTGATGTTTCTAACTCTCTATCTCTCTCCCTTCCTCTCTGTACAAAATCAATAAAATATATTTAAAAAAAAAAAAGGGGAAGAAGATAAAAATTATGAACAACAAATACGTAACTATCAACAAATGAATCTAAAAACCAAGGGAAATAAAAAATCTAATGAATAGTATTAACTGGTGAATATAATGGAATCATAAGTATGGAAAAGGAGTGGACTGATGATTCTCAGGGAAAAGGGGTGTGGGGGATGTGGGAAGAGACTGAACAAAAATTGTACACCTATGGATGAAGACAGTGGGGGGTGGGAAAAGGGCAGAGGGTGGGGTGGGAACCTGGTGGAGGGGAGCAATGGAGGGGAAAAAAGAGGGGAACAATTATAATAATCTGAACAATAAAGATTTGTTTTAAAAAAAACATAGAATGAGGACCCAGCTAGTGTGGTTCAATTGGTTGAGTGTTGACCCATGAACCAGGAATTCAGTGTGACTTGCAGTCAGGGCACATGCCCAGGATGCAAGCTCAATCCCCAATAGGAGGCGTGCAGGAGACGGCCGATTGATGATTCTCTCTCATCACTGATGTTTCTATCTTTTTCTTCCTTTCTCTCTCTGAAGTAAAAAACAATGTGTGTGTGTGTATGTGTGTGTGTATATACATGTATATAATTTTAAATGTAGAATGTGGTTAATAAATAGATGACTATAGGCAGGTACCTTCAAAATTTTTTTAAAAAAGGTCAGCCTCTGAGATTAGCTGGGGGGGAAAAAATCCAAGTTAATATGAATAAATTTAACCATCTTTAGAAGTAACTTATCCTAAGAAATTATCAATGACTGTGGTTGAGGAGACTAAAAAATGCTATTAGACCTAAATAAAACCAGGGTGTTAAGCTTCTGAAATACATGTTAAATGCCCCCGAAAAAGGAGGCAAGCTATAATTTAACCAAATGCATTGAATGTAATGTCCCCAAGTTAGAAAATAGTCTAATCACAAAAGTATGTTTCTTATTTGGTATTGGTGGGGTTTGTCAACATGAATACACCACTCTTCAGGATTATCCATTTATTTTGATTTAATCCCATGCTCACTTGGTCCAGAGAGTATTTATAAAAGAGAGGAATACTATGTCTCAAAAAGATATAAACCAGGCCTGGAAAAAAAACCCTTTCTACCCTACAACAGCTAGCTGAGTGCTAATTGTTCAACCACATCACAGAAATTACATTTATGGCAAATAGTCTCTATACATTTTGCTGTTAGGTCCCTTTGCTAAACTAAATTCTGTTAGAGCAAGCACAATCCACAACACATATATTACATAAGGGTGGAAAACAGGGAGGCCAGTCTAAAACCTGTTTTAATAATCCAGGCAATAATGTCTTGAATCAGCATGGCAATAATGAGGAGTGAGAAGTGGTCTGAATACGTGGTGAAAGCAAGCCAACAGAACTTGCTAATATAAAATGAAAGAGGAGTCAAGGATGACTCAAAGGCTTTTGGCCTGAGGAACTGGAAAGACAGAGTGGCCATTATCTGACTGTGGTCTTAGTAACTGGCAATGACCGAGTCCTCACTACAGTACTGGCCAAGTGTTCAGGTCATCTCCTTACATGCATGATCACATTTAATTCACACTGCCCAGGTGGTGGGTATCACCTTTTAACATGTAGGAATCTGATTATTGGTAAGTTGAGATTCAACATAACAGCTGTTCTGAGCACCTAGGTTATTTAGCCAGAACCCAATACATTCTCACAGCCACAGGATCCAGCATTGTCCTCAAAATGGTAAACATTCCATACATATCTACCGAAATAACTACCTTTTTTGAACATAGGCTGAGTTCAGTGCAGAAATAAAGCATCTGCCAGCTTCTGCACATGCTGGAGAAACAGACCCTGAAAGTCAGGAAATCCTTTTCATAATTCAGAACCACAATTTCGGAGATGGAACAGGAACTCTAGCGCTGCCCAGCTGTAGATGCATCATCCACCACAGACACTGACAACTCTTGCCGAGACCGGTTTGGCTCAGTGGATAGAGCCTCGGCCTGCAGACTGAAGGGTCCCAGGTTCCATTCCGGTAAGGGCATGTACTTTGGTTGTGGGTGCATCTCCCACGAGGGGGTGTGCAGGAGGCAGCTGATCGATGTTTCTCTCTCATTTCTAACTATCCCTCTCTCTTCCTCTCTGTACAAAATCAATAAAATATATTTTTTTAAAAAAAACAACTGACAACTCTTGTCAGATAGAGAATGCCCCCAACACCACGTTCTGTCCCTTCCCCCTCCCTCCCACCTCCTGCTGGGTCTTTCATTCCCACTTTCAGCTCCTAACCCTCTCTCTGACCCTACTCCTGCCCCCACCTCCCACCCCAACTCCCCTCAACAGCACTACTAGGCTTCCCGCTGCCTTCCCTTCCCTAGTGCTGCCTCCTCCGCTTTTCCAACCTCTAGGGCGAATGAGGTCCCCTCCACCTGCGCCTCCTGCAGGGGTGGGTTGTGGAGGGGACGCTCCCTGGAAGGAAAAGCCCGTCTGCCAGTCTTTCAAAGGCGGATCAACTGCTGCAAGCCTTTGGAAACTTCCCTACAGACGCTGCTGGGATAGGGGAGGGCTTTTGGAGGCTGAGAATCCAGTTCCCCACTGCACCGGGGAGCTGCCACGGACTGGGTTACCTTCTGGGGCCAGCGTCTTCGTCTGTGGGGCACAGAGTCCCACTCGCCCCCGCTCACGGGGCTGCGCTGGGGCTCGGGTGACGCGGCTGCGCGTGCAGGGCCGGTCTCCATCCCTCCACATTATGCAAGCTGGCATGCCTTCCCCGCGCTCCCGCTCCGGATCGGACCGTCCATGGAGGTCAGGGGACCCGAGTGACAGTCCTCCTAGCCCCCGCGGCCCCCCAGCACCTCCCCTGGGCGTACACAGTGCACAGTCAGGACCTGTGCGTCTCGTGCTCCATGGGTGGGTGCGAACCTAGGGCGGGAGCCCGGGCAGTGTGTGGTGTGGTGTGGTGAGGTGGGGTGGGGGGTGGGGCGACCCCCCCAAACTTGGGGCTCGCCCCCCTCCACGGCGCTTCAGCTCCGGAGGGCTTGAGCTTCCTCTTGCGTAAAAAAAGTGGGGCGTCACGGCTCGGCCCGTTTCCCGGTGTCTTCACCCGACCCACACACCCCGCGGGGCCCCGGTGCTCAGGGGCCTTCATTTTTACCCGTCCTCGCCCGACAGCTCGCCTCCCAACCGCCTCCCCGGCCCGCCAACTGTCACCCGGCCGCCCGCCCGCCGCCGGGCCCCACCCGAGCACCGAGCCCTCGGGCAGTGCCCCTCCGGCCCGGCCCCGGGGGCCGCCCCCGCCGGTACTCACCCCCACGGCGGCCGCGGGGACGGCGGGCTGCTCGGCGGCGCGGGCCGAGCGCAGCCGCCTCCGGCCGATCCGTTCCAAGCTGAGGAACTCGCTGGACAGGTCCAGGGAGCTCGCGGCCGAGGCGGCGGAGTGGCCGTGCAGCTCCAGGCTGCTGCGGAGGACCACCATCTTCTTCTCCCGGCCCGGGGGCCCCGGCGGGGCGGCGGGTCCGAACGGGCGGGCGGGCGGGCGGCGGGAGCGGGGCGCTCGGGCTCTTCCGCGCTCTGAATTCTGGCGCCACTTGCTCGGGGCCCGCGGCGGCGGCGCGCGCGCCCGCGATCCCTCCGCCGCCGGCCCCGCCCACGCCGCCTCCCACCGCGGCGGGCTCCGAACTTCCCGCCCCGTCCGGGGGGCGAGGGGCTGCGGGCCACGTGGAGGGGAGCCCGCACCCACAGGACGGAGGCCCCGAGCGAGACGTGGCGGGAGGGCGCCGCCTTCGTTGCCTTACGTAGTTCCGGCTCGCGGGGCCCGGCGGAGGGACACTGCGGGGAGCGGCGCGCCGGTCCGTTTGGAATTTTGGCGCGAGGCTGGCGGAGGGGGAAGGGAGGCCGCCGCTCGCTCTGATTGGTTGGCGGCGGCCCGGCGGCTTCGCCCCGCCCCTTAGGACACCTGCCTCCGGCTTCCTCCGTGCAGGCTTCAAATGCAAAACGTGGAGCCCTCGCCTGGGTGGGATGAGGGGCTTGGCCTTTGTTGAGTTTAGGCTTGAATCCACAAGTTTGTTTTTGTTTTTGTTTTTTTAATTGATAGCTTAACCTAAACAAACTCAAAAGCAAAAAGAAAGGGAGTTAAAAGCGCAGGTTCTCTACCCAAAACTTCCAGGTAGGTCCCACGCGTACGATCTTAAGCAAGTTATCTCTCCCGGTCTTAATTTTCTTCTTTAAACTATAATAATAATAATAATACCTAAGTTATGAGATATTGCTATACTTCAGAACCGAGTCTACAATTATAAATGTTACTGTTATAGAATTACAGGGGGTGGGAGGCTTCTTTTTTAAAAAATATATTTTATTGATTTTTTACAGAGAGGAAGGGAGAGAGATAGAGAGCTAGAAACATCCACCAACTGCCTCCCGCACACCCCCTACAGGGGATGTGCCCGCAACCAATGTACATGCTCTTGACTGGAAATGAACCTGGGACCTTTGAGTCCGCAGACGATGCTCTACCGCTGAGCCAAACCGGTTTCTTCAGGGGGAGGCTTCTTTAAGATTACAGCAGTTACTTGACTATTTTGAAATAGATAGATAACATGTTGAATGACCAAAATGGGAGTGTTCTAGTGAAACAGAAACAAAAGCTATTTATTGATGTGGCTAACTACATTTACTTAATATCGACATTTATTAAATATTTATTGAGCATCTATTATGTGCTGGGGGCACTATGCTAAGCACTGAGGATGCAGCAGTGAATAAGAAACAAAAACGCTCCCATACAATTTCAATTCTGGTGGAAGGAGAAAGACAAACTAAATCATTTGTTTAAAAAAAAAAAAAGTGGTCACAGAGAAATATAAAATAGGGAAAGGGGAAGAAAGTGCGATTTTAACAGGGTGATTGGGGAAGTCTGACCCAGATAACAGAAGTGCAAGCAAAGGAAAGGGGAGGATAGGGAGGATCAAAAAGGAAAGAGCATTTAATAGCAGATCCTGCAGGGCTGTGGACCTCTGCTGTTTTATTTTTTACTTTTTTTTTATTATAAGTGAAATGGAAAGACATCACAGGATTTTGAACAGAGAAGTGACTTATTCTGACTTTTTAAAAGAATCCCTTTGGCTCCTGCATGGATAAGGAATATTTGGGACATACTTATACTAAGAAAAATTGTTGTTTATCTGAACTTCAATTTTAATGGAGAGTCATATATATACATATATATGTATACATATATATTTTTTGAGGAATGACAAGCATTCTGAAACATTTATTTTTTTCACTCAGAAATAAATATAATGTACTTGTTTTTTAAGAGAAGAGGCTAAGGAAAGTATTTGTAAACACCCAGGTAAAATGACGACGATCTCTACCTGGCTGTGGGAATTCCCGCTAGTTCTCTCTGCTCCCAAAATGAACCAGGTGGGTCCCTCTGTGCCCTCAGAGATGAGAACTTCACAGACAGAAAGCAGGAAAGGGGATTGGTGCTACAAGGACAACAGCAGCAAAGCCCTGGCCCAGACTCTGGCACAGTGAGGATGATTGGATAGGAGATGCCGCAGAGTAGGACAGGGCACCCAAGCCTTCGGTCCTCTGTGGGCAGCGCTTCCCAACCTTTCCGCAGCCATGGGTGGCCCCCGAGCCACTGGTCATTTCCGCGTCGCTCCCTTCAAAACTGAGTCACCATCGTTTTTTAGTTTAGCCTCATCCCAAAACAAGGAAACAGATTCAATATGTTATGATTTGGGTGCATATTAAAATAAATCCTCAGGAGCGAAAATGTAAACCAAATTTTGTCCACGCGTCACCTAAAGTCACCTAGTCTGCACCCAAAACTTCGGGAGAGAGTCCTATATTTTTATTTGTTAAATATGGCAATCCTAGGTAGGAGGCCACTGCAATTACCCAGGCAAGAGATAATGGTGACATAGTATGAGAGCAGTGGAGAGCCTGGGAAATGGTCAAATCATGGGTATATTTGAAAGAAAGAGCAAAGTGAATTTTCTGGTTAATTAGATTTCAGTATTAGAGAAAGAGAGGAGTCATGGATGACTGCGAAGTTTGGTCTTTTGTTTGCATGGCTTTTTGTTTGAGCTAAGGAAAAGATGAAGCTACACTTAGATGAAAAATGCTATGGCTAAAGCAAGTCTGGAGGGAATATTAGGAATTCCTTTTGATGCACCTTTAAGATGTAGAATTATTATATATTCTACACTTGAAATTTTACCTTTAAAAAGTTTTCAATACCTGAAATTCATACAAAATAAGTATTGAAAGTAAACTGTGATTGGAAAATAAATTTTAAAAAATGCATATCTAGCCAAAGCCGGTTTGGCTCAGTGGATAGAGTGTCGGCCTGCGGACTGAAGGGTCCTGGGTTCAATTCTGGTCAAGGGCATGTACCTTGATTGCAGGCACATCCCCAGTAGGGGGTAAGCAAGAGACGGCTAATCGATGGTTCTCTTTCATCAATGTTTCTAACTCTCTATACCTCTCTCTTCCTCTCTGTAAAAAAATAAATAATATATATAAATGCATATCTAAAAAAGATATTTATGAATTGTTCATAATGTCAAAAACTGAAAACAACTGTAATGTCCCTCAGTGAGGCCTCACTTAAAAAGAATGTGATGCTCTAGCTGGTTTGGCTCAGTGGATAGAGTGTTAGCCCAGACTGGAGGGTCCCTCGGTTGCAGGCTCAGTCCCTGGCCACAGTTGATGTGTCTCTCTCACATTGATGTTTCTCTCTCTCTGTCTCCCTTCCACTCTCTCTAAAAATCAATGGAAAAATATCCTCAGGTGAGGATTAACAATAACAAAAAAAAAAGAAATGTTATACAGTCGTTAAAAATTATAAATGTAACTTAATTATATGGGAAGTTTTAATTATATGGGAAGTTTTAATTATATTTGCACAATGCATTGTAAATTGTTAATAGGATCATAGAATCCATCTTTAAAAAGAACTATATGTGTATATTTACATTGGAAAAAACCTAGAAGAAATTACAACAAAATGTGAATGGTTAATTTCTGCATGGTAATATAAATGGTTGTTGTGTAGTTTCTTTGCACTTTTCTCAATTATTATGACTTTGCATTGACTATGTATTACTTTTATAATTAAGAAAGCTTTAAATGGCTGCTTACCAAATATAAATGGAAGAGGAAAGAATAATATTTAAAGTCAAGTGGTCTACCCTTTTGACATGTTCACTTTTCTTTATAAATATTATACCTTAAATAGTGGTCCAGTGCACGGATTTGTGCACATTGAAAAGAAATTAATTAGAAAAAATACTTTAATATCGCTATTTGCCCTTTCTTTATAATAGAAGTGTCAACCATTTTCACGATCAACAATGACAGATTGAAACACACATGTGCAGTTGTTGCCAGCAAGAGCTTTATAGGTATTGTGCATGCACAAGTCAACTTAGCCTTTTATATATGTAGAATAAACTTGCTTAATTAGTCCTGCTTTCTGATGTAGCTGAACTTTTTCCAGCTCAGTAAAGCACCCCAACTTGTCTTTCAGGTAATTGTCAGAAACACAGCAGTAAATATCAACATGAAGCAGATTATTGTTGTAGATCATGCAGGAAGAACAAAGGGTAAAATATTTAACTGCAGCAGTGTTTGACTATATTCTGCACAGTGAGAAAATATGAAGTCATTTTCAAGGTCCACCATTCTTACTTCTTTTCAGTTGGGTCAAGTTTCTAAGTTTTCTAAATCTCTGTTTTTAGGCTAATGAAAGAAAATAGGATTCCACTGAGTTTCCTATCTACCTACTCCAGGACTTCTGTGAGGATCAAATGAGATGAGGCACGGGAAAATGCTTCACAGACATTTGGTTGCAGTGTGAAATGTTTGCACCTGGCTATAAAGCAAGTCATGTTCTTGGGCTGAAGATATTGCAAGGAGGCTAGCTGTCACTAGGTTGAGGAAGCTGGGCATTGCTATGTGACATCATTACCCAGTGCACATAGTGACTATTTCCAGGCTGGTCTGGTTGGTGGGCCTTATTTTTCACCATGGGGTCTCGATAGCATTGGCTGCTATTTGGTGATGTGTCTCTCTGGGGTGGTGGCAGGGCCTGTGTCCCACTTGGGGAAAGCCAAGTGTTGCTTTGTGGGCACCACCAGGTCCGCAGTGCCAGTGCACATCACAGCAGCTCCACCAGTATCTGCCCCCTGGTGGTCAGTGGCATCATAGCAACCAGTTGGACAGTCGGATACTTAGCATATTAGCTTTTTATATAGATAGATAACAATGTATAAAAAATGCTTCCACCCAAAAGGCATAAGACTTGTGATTTTGTTAGATAATATCAAGTTGACTTCTGTAAAAATTATAGTAGTCTTTTAGTTCTTTTTTTTTTAAAAAAGCAAAGAAATAGAAATTTTAGAACATCCATATACAGAGCCAGAGAAAGGGTTTTCCTATCCCTTTATTCTCTCCCCCACAATATTAAGGATTACCACACTTGCTTCAGCCTTCAGTTGGTGCAGCAGGTTGATTCGTGTATCCTAAAAGGATATGTCTAAGTTATAAACTTTAGTACCTGTAAATATGACCTTATTGGAAATTCGGTCTTTGCAGATGTAATTAACGATTTTGAAAAGAGATCAGCCTGGATTTGTGGTGGGCCCTAAAAACCCAGTGATTGGTGTCATAAAAGAGAGGGAGTTGTGACACAACAGAGACACTAAGAAAAGGTAACGTGAAGGCGGATGCGGGAATTTGAGTGGTACATCGTTAAACCAAGGAACACCAAGGATTGCCAGCAACCACCAGTAGGAGGGCAGTATGGAAGGATTCTCCCTCAGAACTTCCAGAAGGAACCAACCCTGCTGACACCCTGATTTCAGACTTTTGGCCTCCTGAATTGAGAATTAATTTGTGTGCTTTCCCCCCACCTAGTTTGTGGTAATTTGTTACAGCAGCCTTAGGAAACTTAAAGAGAACCGGCCTTTGGCAAGTAGTACTTCTTTCCTTTTCCATAGTCTTTGGCTATTGCAGATGGGAGTGACCCGATTTAGGCAAAGAAGGGGCGATGGAAACTGAGGTTCTTTCCCACACCGCCTGACTGCAAACAGGGTCGTTTGTTGTTGTTGTTGTTTTCCTTAAGTGTGGCAGGAAAGAGGGCTGAGGTAAGAGCTAATCATAATTCCATTACCTCATTTGAGATGAGGTCATAGGTGAGTCTCTCTCTCTCTCTCTCTCTCTCTCTCTCTCTCTCTCTCTCTCTCTCTCGATAACAAAGTTGGAAAGTAAACATCCATTTGCACAGGGATTTCTTTCAGGAATGTTGCAAATCTGACCTTACTTAAACTTTGTAGCTAATCTTACTGATTTTCTACAAAAGAAGGGAAATCATTAGTTAGCCTTCCCTAATACCACAGTCACTGACTGGTCCATGGCAGTCAGTACCCACCCCAATCTAAGTAAGAGGAGCAATAATAGTATTGTGCTCCAACCCAGCCCAATATTGACCCCAAAGGTGAGGGTGCTCCCTTCAGAGTTCCCATAGTACACTGCTGTTCTTAGGATTTTCTGCCTTATATTGAAATTTGCCCTATAGGAAAGTAGCAATCTGTTAAATGCAAACTAAAATAATGCAAATGCCAGTTTTACACAACTATTTTTGGTTCTAAAAGTAATAATAGTACTCAATGTGATATGAGGTATGGGGTCATTTCTTTTTTTAAAATATATTTTTATTGATTTCAGAGAGGAAGGGAGAGGGAGAGATAGAAACACCTATGATGAGGATTGCATGTCCCCTACTGGGGATTGAGCCTGCAACCCAGGCATGTGCCCTTGACCAGAATCAAACCCGGGACTTTTCAGTCCGAAGGCCAAGGCTCTGTCCACTGAACCACACCAGCTAGACCATGGGTTCATTTCTTAAAACCAATATAACAACATGTATTAAGAAACCCAGAGCCCTGGCTGGTGTGGCTCAGTGGTTGAGCATTGTCCCATGCACCAAAAGATCACCAGTTTGATTCCCAGTCAGGGCACATGCTGGGGTTGTGGGTTAGGTCCCCAGAGTTGGGGTGTGTGCAGTGTGCAGGAGGCAGCCAATACATGTTTTTCTGTTTCTCTCTTTCCTTCCCGCCCTTCCTCCCTCTCAAAAATCAATAAAAACTTATTTAAAAAAAAAAAAAAAAAGAAACCTGGAAAATACTAAAAACCTTTGACCCAGGAACTCATATCTCTATCATCCTAACATGATAATCAGAGCCAGGGACCAAGATTGTTTAGAAATCAATGGAAAAAATATCCCCAGGTGAGGGTTTAAAAAGCACACACCACACAACTGGGCCCACTGCTTTATTGGAATAGTTATATTGTCTGTACTGTAATCCAACAATTAATTCTTCCAACAATTTGAAATTAAGTCCATTTGGTATGAAATGGGCTTTGTTAAGCCACTCAAGGCCCCTAAGTAAACACCTTTCTTGCCTGGCCGGTGTTGCTCAGTGAGCACAGACCTGCTGGGAATGAATCCCCCGCCGCCCTCTTCTTCCTTGGGGCTCCCGCGGACTCCCTGCTCAACGTGCTAAAGCGCGTTCCTCACACAGAAGTTCCTGTTATTTCACTCGCACACACGGAGCCTCCGCACCTCAGCCGGAGCCTCCACAGCCGCCATCCGGCCCCGGGGAGGAAGGGCTCAGACTCCTCGGGGGGCCTCGCGGCTTATCAGCTCCAAGCGCCCCCCAGACTCCTCTCCGAGTCGCGGTGAGTGACCTTTTCTCCCCCCCCCCCCCACCCGGATCCCTGCTGTCCACCCGGAACCCGCGCAGCAGGGCCCGCTCCTGGCTCCTCCCACTGGGCCCGCTCCTTCTAGAATCGCGCAGTCTTCCTCGCAGAAAACTCAGGCCGCTCACCCCACCCCGATCCCGCCCACGACGCCCGGGCCCCACACGGGTCGCGCCCTCAGGTCAGCGCTGGGCCGGTCCACCCAGCCGCTAGGGCCACGGCTGGGCGGTGCGCGGGAGAAACTGCGCCGCCCGCTCCGCCCTGGCTCTGCCCCCACCCAAACCACGCCCACCACCTAGGTCCCACCCACAGACCCCGCCTGCCCAATCCCTGGCCCCACCCAGACCACGCCCACCACAAAAGTCTCCACCCAGACCACGCCCACACGCTCAGGCTCCATCCAACCTCTCTTCCACCCAATCCCAGATCCCACCCGGACCACGCCCACCACCCAGGCCCCACCCAGACCACGTCCACCCACAACTAAGCTCCACCCAGACCCCGCCTACTCACCCAAGGCCCCGCCCACCCATCCCAGGTTCCACCGCTCGGATCTGCACCAGCGGCCCCAGGCTCCGCCCACCGCGGCAGCAGAAGCGGAGGGGACTGCTGCGCGCCAGCTCCGTCTCCGGAGCCCGCCTGCGGGGCTCATCTAGACGCCCGCCTCAAGCCGGTGGCCTGGTCCACGCCACCATGGATGGGGATGCCCCCACCGCTGCAGCCGCCCAGTACCAGCCGGCCAGCCCCCCGCGGGACGCCTGCGTCTACAACAGCTGCTACTGGTGAGGGGCGCGGACACAGTCCCCGGGACCTCCCAGGCTGGCTCCGCTGCAGCCGGGCCCCGCCTCCGCCCGGCCCCTTCCCGGCCCGGACTGGCGGGTTTTCTGGTTCGGCGGGAGGAGGCGGTGGGAAAGGGAGCCTCGTCTCCTGGTAGAACGTGGTCTCTGGGTGGGGGTGGGGAAGGACGGATTTCTCCGGGAATGGTAGGGTCTGGGGCGCATTACTTCTGCAGGGCGCTCTGCGCTTGGACATTTCTCAGCAGTTTCAGTGCTAGAGGGCTAGGCAGGGGAGCTGGAGCTGGAGGGTGGACCGCAGAGAGCCTTCTGGAAATTGCCAAAACCGGTGTGGTTTCACACTGATGTGAAGGTCTTTTTAATTTTGGGAGATAATGCAGATACAGAGATTTTGCCGTAACTTTCCTAGGGTCACCCAGTTCATAGCAGCCCGGAATCCAATGCAAACCTTCTTGTAGCAAAAACCGTGATCTCAACCACCCTGTTGTCATTATAATAACGGTTGTACTTACATGGCACTGGCCATATGCCAAGCATGGTGCTGAGTGGTCTATGTAAACGAATTCATTGAAGTCCTACAATTTAAGCGGTAGGTACTCATTTTAAAGATGAGAACACTGCTGAAGCCGGTTTGGCTCAGTGGAGCGTCGGCCTGTGGACTGAAAGGTCCTGGGTTCGATTCTGGTCAAGGGCATATACCTTGGTTGCGGGCACGTCCCCAGAAGGGGGTGTGCAGGAGGCAGCTGATGGATGATTCTCTCTCATCAATGTTTCTAACTCTCTGTCCCTCTTTCTTTCTCTCTGTAAAAAAAAAATCAATAAAACATATTTTTTAAAAAAGAGATGAGAACACTGAAGCAACATGCCTAAGACCACATAGCTTGTGAGTAAGGAATGGGGATTTACATGTAGAATTTGGCTCTGGACTCTACATATTGTGCCCCTGTCCACAGCCACCTCTGTGGCTGAATGAGCATGCCTACCTTGGTCCTTGGACTCCCACACCTATCCTTCCCTTGCCTGTGTGACTCCTTCCCCACTTTGGCTGGCTTCACACTCCTCAGGGCCATCCTGCATTTGAATGTGCTGGAGGATCACCTGGGAGCTTCTAAAACATGCCACTCTCAGGGTCCCACCACAGACGCTGGATGTATGAGCAACACAGTGGAGGAATTTGAGTCCATTGATCACATTTCGAGGAATACAAACATAGACAACAAAGTCTGCCCCTCTCTCATTTTTAATATATGTTACTGATTTTTTACAGGGAGGAAGGGAGAGGGATAGAGAGTTTCAAACATTGATGAGAGAGAAACATCTATCAGCTGCCTCCTGCATTCCCCCTACTGGGGCTGTGCCTGCAACCAAGGTACATGCCCTTGACCAGAATTGAACTCTGGCTTATGTCTGCAGGCTGACCCTCTATCCGCTGAGCCAAACCAGTTAGGGCCAAAGTTGCCTTCTTGAGCAGAACAAGTCCTCTAAGATCTGGTCACTGCTTGTTCCTCCAATCTCATTTTGAACCTGCCTTCTCTGCTGTCCTGCTGGGTTTCGCACATTGGCGCCTTTGATACCTTGAATGCGTTAAATCGTGGCGGCTGTCCAGTGTATTGTATAATAGGAAATGTAGCCGCACCCCTGGCCTGTACTCTAAATAGAGAGAGACCCGTGGAATCCCCTTTCAATTTGTGACCACAAAAATGTCTGCAGGCGTTGCCGAATTCCCCCTGGGGGGTCAAATCGCCTCTGATTGAGAACCCTTGATTTGCCCTGGTATACCTTACCGCCTTTGCTCCTGTGGGTTCTTCTCACTTGAAATAAATGCCACCTTCACTTCGGTTAGCTTCCCGCAGATGCTGCTTATCTTTGAGATCCAGCTTCGTGGTACTAGTGGTGGCCAGTTTCTGTGTGGCCCTGAGTGGCTTGTGGAGCATTTTACCTTTCTGCATGCTTCTTGGACTAAACCCATCACGAGCAATCCTCCCTTGCAGAATCTTGGCCCTAACGCTGCTTTGTTAGCTTTTCTGCTGCCAAAATAATCAACCGACAGGTTGAGAAATTACCATCACTCCCCACTTTTTTCTAACCCAGTTAACTGGGTGCCAGCACTCACATTCAATCAGGGACTCTTTCCATCCCAGTGTTTCCAAGTATATAAGGCCCTTTTGTTTTAGTAACATCACAAGTTTCAAGAAATCCTCCTACAGGATGTTAATTGCACTTTTGAAAGAAAAAGGACAATAGAAATGGACTGTAAGTTCAGTATCTCTTAAATTTATATCTCCTGTGTAACATTCACACACATTTGAAAAATTAGGCCAAATATGTCCAAACCCCATGTGTGTTCAGCCTACGAGTAGTGCTTATGGTACATATGGACTCATGAGCTTTCTGCATTCTATGCTCATCCGTGGGAGGAGGTTAAGGGGAACAAACAAGAAAAAACAACTGGCCTGTTCCTCCATCTTCCCTTACACCTATAGTTAGTGATTCCCTCTTCTGTGCTTCCTCTATGCATCTTTCATGGCCTTGGATGCTTGCTTATTTATGGGTCTGTATGTCTCCTCTCACTGTCTGTAAGCTTTGATTTATCAGATCTTCCCAGCACTTAGCATAGCGTTTTGTATATCACAGGCTCTCGGAGATATCTGTGGCCAACTCTCCAAAATGTCTCTAGGCAAGACAGACAAATGTCTTTTCAAAACTTGTCTCAAAACATCCAGATTTTTAAAAATGTTAGATACTACATGGTATATGTCTCATTGAAACAGTGCATGTTAGTAGCCATCTTCTGTTGTTAACCTCTCTACCACCTCTTTTTCCATAAGGTTTCTTAGGTATTTTAGTTAAAAACAAGATCATAGCAGAAAAACACAGAAGCTCAACGTCGGTGCTTTAAGCCCAGTCTTCTGTAACATGGAGACAGGTAGACCAGGGGAAGATTCGTGAATAAAAAAGGTGTTTATTTCCATAAAATGGTGACAGCCCCCCAAGTGCTGTGTCTTGCTTTGTTTTTGGGTAGCATGGTGTAGGTGGCTGGGTTAGGCTTTAGCAGATGGAGTCACGTGTGTGAACAGAGTTGGTGTGGTTGGTTTTGAGCAAAGGCAGTCCAGAGCTGACCTGAGTGTGCTGCCTGGACAGGCATGTGACGGTGGCCGCTTGGGTGGCTTGGTTGGACGCACTGGGCATGGTGTTGTTACACTCAGACTTCGTGATCCCCAAGGTCCACCAGAGAGCCGAGTCCGATACAATAAACAAAAGAGCCTTTTCCATGCTAGCATGGGCTCTGTCCCATTCACGCGACAGCATGGCGGAAGAGAGTGAACTTTGCCACGCCCTGGGGTTTTACAACGGTGGTGATGTCACTGCTTCGGCTGGCCCTGATTGGTTGGGTGAGGGCTAGGGTTCAGTTAATGGGAGATAACTCCACCCTGCCCCACAGTGGAGTCAGGAGTTTATCCTCGCCCCGCCCTGCCCTCTCAGCATTACTTAGGCAGTTCTGACCAGTTATCTGCTGCAGAAAAGGCCTCTTCTGTAGAAGGAGTTTTATCTGGGTCAGAGGTATAGGAAAGTAGACTTCAATTCAATATGAGTAAGAACGTCATGTAAGTCAGGACTTCCTCCGTACCAGAGGGACTTGGGGAATCACACTCACAGAGGCTTCCCCCTGTTAACGGGAAAAAAAAAAACACCATTGAAACCTATAAAGAATTTTTGTGAGTTTATTTGAGCCAAACTGTCGACATATGCCGGGAAGCAGAACCTCAATGGGTTGAGATAATGCTCTGAAGAATGGCGGGTTACATTTCTATTTATACATTGCAATCAAAGGAGGGACATAGGTGGGTTATATGGAATTCATTGGTGACTGGATTAAGGAGGCGGGAGAAAGCAAAGAGGTGGGAAACCCGTAGGATTGGATAAAAAGTAAAATGACGGACCTTACTTAGGTGAGAGCAGGAACAATTAACATGATAACGAAGGAATTTGAGGCATTTGTCCTGGCGCCCATCACATTCGGTTGTGCCCCAGGGGCTCCGGAAAAAGGGAAGTTACAAGTTAACCGGACATCTCACAGATATGTTATCTTAGAGGCAAAAAAAAAAAAAAAAAAAAAAAAAAAAGGCAAATGGGCTCTGTAAAGAAGATCGCAGTTGATCTTTGGGAAAATATCGGCCTAGGACATGACTACCCACTATAACCTGTTTGTAGTTTAAATATTTAATTTTCAAATCATCTTTTGTGGTTATTTTAGGTCTCTGAGTCTGCAAGACTGCCACGCAGGCCTCCCCTGAGCTTGTCAGGTTAGCATGTGGCTCCTGGACATAACACATCACTGCCCTGATCCTGTCCACTCAGGAGCCCTAGCACCCCACACACCACCCTGTGCCATTCCCTATGGAGCAGGCAACTGGTATCACTAAGATGTATTGAGTATTTCTAATATAATGTGATTGTGCCCATTTTACAGACAAGAAAGTATGTTCATCTCAGCTCAGGATGTTTAAAGTTTCTTACTTTTGAAGTGTCTTCAGTTGGGAGTTCCAACTGTATCTCACATCCCTGGACCCAATGCTTATAGAATATTAGACATTCTATTTTTTTTATTGATTTTTAGAGAGAGAGAGAAAGAGAAAGAAGGAGACATTGATTTGTTGTTCCACTTATGTATGCATTCACTGATTGCCTCTTGTATATACCCTGAGCAGAGATCGAACTCACAACCTTGGCATATTGGGACGACACTCTAACCAGCTGTGCTACCAGCCAGGGCTTATAGGATATTGATGCAGCTTTTTATCAGTTATAAAATGCCTCTATATACATACACTGCTGGGGGAGGTAATGAGCTCTGTTTTTTTTTTTTTTTTTTTTTATTGTTTTTTTACAGAAAGGAAGGGAGAGGGATAGAGAGCTAGAAACATCGATGAGAGAGAATCATCGATCAGCAGCCTCCTGCACACTTCCCACCAGGGATGTGCACGCAACCAATGTACACGTCCTTGACCGGAATCGAACCTGGGACCCCCCAGTCCGCAGGCCAACGCTCTATGAGTTCTGTTTTTGCAGAGGGTCCACACGGTATAGGCTGGGTAACAGCGGGCTGGGGATGTTTTAGAGGAGGTTCAAATGTTTGCAACTCGTTGGATGAGATGGCGTTTAAGGTCTCTTCCAACTGTTTCATGTCATCATCAGTCTTTTGTTCAGATTTGAAAGACACAGAGTGTTCTTGCTTAATTATACTGATTAGATAATTATTTTATTCCAGTGAAGAAAATATCTGGAAGCTCTGTGAATACATCAAAAACCACGACCAGTATCCCTTAGAAGAATGCTACGCTGTCTTCATATCGAACGAGAGGAAGATGGTAAGTTGGTGAGTGATGGCAGAAAGGAAACGAGATTTAAGACATTAGATGGCAAATATAAAATGGGTTTAATACTGTTTTAAAATGTGTTCTGTGACATACAGCAGCATCTTAACATTTGTTTTGGATTGGATTTTTTTTTTACCTTCTAGGGTACAGTTGAGTTGGAGAGTTTAGTTTCTCACTTGTATAATAGGTAGGGAAATACGTGATGGTGTGTTCACAACATCACAGATGGAATTCATTTTCTCTAGGAGTTTAACTAGAACTACAATGAACATATATGAATATTAAATAAAAGGAAGTCCTTCCTATTTTGTAAAGCACGTTTGCAAGGATCGCCTCATTGGATCCTCATGGGAATCCTGTGAACGAGGCAGTTACAGACAGCTGTCTCCTTTTTATGGGGGAGGAAATAGAGACTCAGGGAGGTTTCATGAATAATGAAGTGGGAAATCAAGACTTGAACCTGCCAGGCCTTCTGATTCCTCATTCAGGTCTCTTCCTACTCTCCAAGGACCATTGTATGAGTCACTTTTGCTTTTTCATTTTTAAGGATACGTAGAAGTAGTATTTGGATTTCTTACCCATTCATTCTGTCACCTGGATTGTTGGTCGCTTAGACATACTTTATTTTTTCGTGTATGTGTTGCTTTGAAGAATTTAGTGGTGGTTTAGCTAAAAGGGTGGCTTATGCAATTTATTGTTTTTGTAGATTCCTATCTGGAAACAGCAGGCAAGACCTGGAGATGGGCCTGTGATTTGGGTAAGATGGTCAACACAGAGAGTGTTTGATGTGTTATTAGCATGGTGATCCCCGAGGGCCCTTTAAGTTTTGGTAGAGCAGGAAGAATAAGGCAGTAGAGAAAGGCTAATTATAAATTGACTTTTGAGAATAGATGTTAGTTGGCCTAAGGTAGAAGCCCTTACAATAAGGTGACTGTCCCGCTTTTGGCGGGACAGTTCCGATTTTCAACAATTTGTCCTGTGTCCCGCGGCATTTTAAAAAAGTCCTGATTTTTGGAACTTTCTAAAAACGCTGCGGACCACAGGACAAATTGTTGAAAATCAGGACTGTCCCACCAAAAGTGGGACGTCTGGTCACCTTACCTTACAGGCATGTTTATTTTAATTTTGAAATTATTACAGGAATGATTTTATTTTTTGTTTGTTTTGTTGTTCTTTTTAATTCGCATCTGAGGATATTTTTTGCCATTGATTTTTAGAGAGAGTGGAGAGAGGGGGAGAGACAGTGAGAGAAAAACATCAATGTGAGAGAAACATCAATTCGTTGCCTTCTGTCCTGACCAGGGCCTGGGATCAAGCTGCAACCGAAGTACATGCCCTTGATCAGAATCAGAACTAGGACCCTCAGTCTGTGGGCTCTATCCACGGATCCACACTGCCTGAGGCATCACAGGAGTGAATTTAAATGGTCTGTGTGGCAGATAGATTTGTTATCTCCCAGACCTTTATTTTTTCAGCACTGGGAAGGACTTTAGAAATATCTAGTCCAGCTGCACCTAAGAATTATCTGAAAACTGTTGAAAATACTGTACAGCCCTGGCTGGTTTGGCTCAGTGGATAGAGTGTCAGCCTGGTGACTGAAGGGTCCCAGGTTTGATTCCGGTGAAGGGCACATGCTGGGTTGCGAGCTTGATCCCCAGTAGGGGGCATGCAGGAGGCAGCCGATCAATGATTCTCTCTTATCATTGATGTCTCTCTCTCTCCCTCTCCCTCTCTGAAACCAATAAAAATATATTTTAAAAATGCCGTACAAATTTCTGATGTAGTTGATCTAGAGAGGATTTAGGAATTAACGTTTTTTAGCACACTCCTGCGTGAACATGACGGGTGTTGGGAAAACACATCTGTTGCAGCCCCTTCCTTTTTCAGGGGGAGAAACCAGCTCAGAGAGGCAAAGGGAGAACCTCCAGGTCATCTCGCTGGTCAGTGCAAAACTGGGTCTCAGCCTGGTCCTTCCCAGTGCACATCGTGCGTCACCTTCCCCTGGCCCCGCGAGGAACAGAATTGCTAATGCTAGTAACCATGGAGATAAAGTAAAAGGAAAACCCATTGTTTTTTTTACAGAGAGCAAGGAGAGGAATAGAGTAGAAACATCGATGAGAGAGAAACATCGACCAGCTGCCTCCTGCACACCCCCTACACTGGGGATGTGCCCGCAACCAAGGTACATGCCCTTGACCGGAATCGAACCTGGGACCCTTCAGTTCACAGGCCGACGCGCTCTCCACTGAGCCAAACCGGTTAGGGCCATTCATGATAATTTAACGCACATGTAGTTTCTGGTACGTATTTAAAAGAAGGTACCATTTGAATTGGCTTCATTTAACATGTATTTATTGGGCACCCATTATACGCCAGTCACAGAGCAGGCTAACGTCCTTGGCCTCATAGAGCTCACGTTTTCACTCTCCCCCGGCGGGTGATGTGCGGCTCTGACGCTGAAGCCCAGACCCAGCAGGGTTGGGTGTTGGGTTAGGAACTCGGATTGAGAGTCAGACACAAGGGGGCGAAGCCCAGTCTCTCATTGATGGCTGGGAACTGATGTGTTATGTACCCTCTTTTCTCAGTGTCCTCTCTGGTCCGTGGGTTTGGGAGGCCTCCAGGAGGGAATGCAGGAAGCATCATCCAGGTATTCGGTATGGTGCCTGGTGCTGTGCTCGATAAGCAGTAGCTACTAGTGTTGTTAGGGACACCGCATAACCCCTGTTGCAGACGGTCCATCTCATCGATGACCATCCTCATCAATGACCCGCTCAGCTGATGTTGAGTCAGGGTCTTGCTTCCCGTCTTAGGAAAACTTGCAGGGCGAGGACCTGTGGTCATGTCCCTCTTTTTAAAAGCCTTTACCAATAAATAAGTAAAAAAATAAAAATGCATTTACATACATAACAATCTCATTAGTTCTCCCAGCATACTCTGAGGCACATGCTACAGTTACCTTCATTTTATGAAAGGGTAGCTGAGGCTGGTAAGGGGAATGCCCTTACTGCTTGCTCTCCTGCCTCCTGCCACCATTGATTTGTGCTTCCCATCACTTCTCTGGGAACTCCCCGAGGGTGAGGAGCTGTCTTTCTCACCTCTGAATCTGTATTTCAACAGCACAGTTTCCAACAAACGATAGGGCAGGGAGTGTGTACTGCAAAACAACTATAACACGTGTTAGAGAGAAACAGATTTTAGAAGGTAGCTATGCTCACCACTATACTACCTACGCCTTGAGAAACAGGTTTTGGATACGGCAGAGACTGCTTCTTGCCAGGGATGGGAGAAGATTAAAAAAACAACAGGATTTATGGGGAAGAGAGCCTTTGAGTTGGAGCTTGAGTGCTGGGTGTGGAGAGAACCGGGGGGCAGGTTGCTGCAGATGGTGGTGGTGGTGGGGGGGATAAGATGAACTAGCGCAGGGAAAGGAAACTGGGCTGTTCTGGGGGAGCCGCTCTCCGTTTAAACCTGGAGGGTCAGGTGCATTCGGAGGGGAGCACAGGGAATGAGCATCCATTTCGGAAGCTATTTCTGCTTTCCTAAGTTAGAACTGGAGCCAGAGGAAGCACCTTAGGCTCCAGTGGTACAACATGTCGAGTCTCAATAAGCGAATTATCTTTCCCACCTCACAGAGTCAAATGAAATAACAGTTGAGAAAATGCTTTATAAGCTCTGAGGTACTAGAAATGTAGGATGATATTATGAATGTTTACCTAATACTAGAGGCCCGGTGCATGAAATTCGTGCACTCGAGGTAGGAGGGGGTGTCTCTTAGCACAGCCTGTGCCCTCCCGCAGGCGGGGACCCCTCGTTCCTTACCACCTGCCCGCATCAGAGGTGGGAGAGTCTCCTGCCACTGCGCTTAACCAGCTGTGAGCCTGGCTTCTGGCTGAGCTGCGCTCCCCCTGTGGGAGTGTCCTGACCACCAGGGGGCAGCTCCTGCATTGAGCATCTGCCCCCTGGTGGTCAGTGCACGTCACAGCTACTGGCCATTCTGCCGGTTGTCCCATCATTTGGTTGATTGGCATATTAGGGTTTTATTATACAGGTGACTGAGCTTTTAATCTCCCAGTGCTGTTCTCTGTGATAAAGATTTTTGCTTTGAAGAACTCAAAGCATTGGACTGCCCTCATGTTCCTGGATAACCACCCTGACATCCCTTCCAGCCGTGTCTGGTGTCAGGGAGTGAGAGTGAGGATTCACATATAGTGTCCGAGCTGTGCACACAGAGCTCTCTGTATTCCTTAATGGTTACTCATGAGGTTTTAGCTGATCAAAACAAGACCAAAAACAAAAACAAAAGCCAACGTTTTTCTTTCCTTTAGCTACCAATCTAGTACAAAACCGTCCCCTTTGTTAAGAGGTGGGAGGATATTCTTGCAGACTCTATCCTCTGTATTCATAGGCATGCATATGTGCTTCTGAATGCGTGTGTGTCCACATACGTTTTTTAAAAAGGACATATTATGCACATTCTGCAATTTGCTTCTTCCACCCAGCTATAGAACATGGACATTTTTTTTGTTTCCCACATAAATGTACCAAAATCTTTTTAACGGCTACTCCATCCTATGGCTGCATGCATCATCATTTATTAGCCTTACCCCTCGTGGTGGGCTTCCCCCCCACCCTGAATTTCCACTATTATAAACAGTGCTGCAGAGATTTTATATATATACAAATATATATAAAATAATATATCATTATTTGTGTATTGTCATTTCTCTCTAGAGTGGATTCCTCAAGGTAAAATTTCTGGGTCAAAGAGTTTCTGATATATATGAACATTTCCACTGTCTACCTTGTCACTGGACATTTGGTCTGTTTTCAGGATTTTGTGTTTGCTTTATTTTATTTCCCTCTTACATAGAGGGCTGTATTCATCTTGTGTGTGTTCCTGGGGCTATGTATGCATTACACCCCAGACAGCTATGTATGCATTATATCTCAGACAGAGCCGCTTGGGTAACTTGGGCAACTTTCACCTCCAGGATTACCATGTGGTTTTGCTTCATGTTTCAAGCGGAGGACAGAGTTTCATCTATGACCTCGACACGGTCCTGCCGTTTCCCTGCCTCTTCGATGCGTACGTGGAAGACGCCTTCAGGTCCGACGAGGACATCCATCCCCAGTTTAGGAGGTGAGGACGTTCGGGATGAGTTTTCCTACTTTCTGACGTGAGACCTTGACAGTTACATGGAGCTGGTTTGTTTCTTTTTGCATTTGATTAGTAAAGATTGCATATCTTGGCATCACCATGGAGTTGATATTTGAGAATGATGTGCTACACAGAAGATTCAAAACGTTTTAAAGCTATAAAGGTTGTTCATCATATAAAAGGTTGGCAGTCTCTTAAAAATGTGGTGATGAGATCTCAAACATTTTCTTAGTCATTTGGGGGATTTCTCTCAGACTCTTTGTTTTTGAGGGGGTGGTAGGGTGTGTGTGGTATGGGGATAGGATTCCTTTTGATGCCAAAATTGAGAAGGCCGTCATGGCAGCACCTGAAAATACCAGTAATGTGTTTTGCACCCCAATACCAGATGTATTTGGTGCCTTTGTAGTTCTGGATTTCATTTGATCATCTCCTCATGGCTTCTTTTTTTTTTTAATATATTTTATTGATTTTGTACAGAGAGGAAGGGAGAGAGATAGAGAGTTAGAAACATCGATGAGAGAGAGTCATCGATCAGCTGCCTCTTGCACACCCTCTACTGGGGATATGCCCGCAACCAAGGTACATGCCCTTGACCGGAATCGAACCCAGGACCCTTCAGTCCCCAAGCCGACGCTCTATCCATTGAGCCAAACCGGTCTCAGCTCTCATGGCTTCTTTAAGAGATAACAAGTCATACACATATTTGCATATTACTACCGTGTTTCCCCGAAAATAAGACATCCTCCAAAAATAAGACCTTGCGCATAGAAAGATAAGACAGCCCCTGAAAAATAAGACCTAGCGCAACTTTGGGAGAAAAAATTAATATAAGACACTGTCTTATTTTCGGGGAAACAGGGTAATAGTACGAAAATGCCTGCTTAGTTTTAAAATATATATATATTTCATTGATCTTTTACAGAGAGGAAGGAAGAGGAATAGAGAGTTAGAAACATCAATGAGAGAGAAACACCGATCAGCTGCCTCCTGCACAATCCCACTGGGGATGTGCCCACAACCAAGGTACATGCCCTTGACCGGAACCCGACCTGGGACCTTTCAGTCCGCAGGCTGACGCTCCATCCGCTGAGCCAAACCAGTCAGGGCAAAATGCCTGCTTAGTTTTGTGCATGTCATAGAAAATTGAGTTAGAATTTCAACTGTGATACCTCCCTGTGGTAAATGAATGCTGGTTTATCTGCAGGAAATTTAGAGTTATCCGCGCCGATTCTTACTTGAAGAACTTCGCTTCTGACCGATCTCACATGAAAGATTCCAGTGGGAACTGGAGGGAACCTCCTCCCTCGTATCCCTGCATTCAAACGGGAGGTGAGCCAAAAACATGCGTTTGGAGGCATTTCCAATCCCTGTGCACTTTCTCCCTCCTCAGGGACAAAAGCCTCACTGCTTTCTGGATAAGCCCTCTGAGGGATAAAGGGGTAAGAGGAAGTGTGGCTCTGTGTTTTTATTAGCTTCAGAAACTGAGGCACGGAGAACAGGCCTGGAAGGCGTAAGGCCTCATGGGAAAGGAAGAGTGTTGGGAATAGACCTCACCACTTGCTGGAATATTGGGTGTACTTATTGCTGGGACACGGCCTTTACGAGTCTGCATGTTTGTGTTGTTGAACACTGGGGCTGGTAGCACCTTGCTGTGGTAGGGTTTCATGTTATGGTGGAAAAAACTGCCAGCGCATCCCGTGATGGATGGAGTGTCCCATCCCTGGCACCAGAACAAAACCTGCATTAGGAGGAGGGAAGAGCTGGCAGGTTGCATTGTCCCACTCCTCCGGTTTATGTGCTTGTAGGCATCCGTCCAGTTAATAATTCCTTGAGATTGGAGTAGATGAAGAGTTCTTCACCCTATTACTATTGTTTGGCAATCACACAAGTTGAAACATTATTGATGGTTGAGAGTAATTCACAACGTTGCCATTGATTGGTGAGGTCATCCCCTCACATGAGTGATCCTGTCTGTGGGAAGTGCTCTGTAAGCTGTGCAACAGCCAGAGACATGGAGCAGAAGTATTAAAAGTTCAGCAAGGAAGAAAGTAAGAACGTACTTGGCATGTTCGAAGGGCGTGAACTAAGAGAGGAATCAAACTCTGATTTTTAAAAAATATATTTTATTGGTTTTCTACAGAGAGGAAGGGAGATGGATAGAGAGTCAGAAACATCGATGAGAGAGAAACACCAATCAGCTGCCTCCTGCACCCCCCCCCCCCCGCCCAACTGGGGATGTGCCGGCACCCAAGGTACATGCCCTTGACCAGAATCGAACCTGGGACCTTTGGGTCCGCAGGCCGACATTCTATCCACTGAGCCAAACCGGTTAGGGCTCAAACTCTGATCTCTGTGAGAAGCTCTTGTAATTTGAAAAATTGATACTGGAACCGCTTTTTGGTCTACCAGCCTGCTTTCCAGGCTCAGCACCAGAGTTGGGACGGATCCTTGGCTGGGCGAGGGCTTCCCAGGTCTCCCTTTCAGTCCAGGACAACCTACTGTCGGGGGCGTGGTCCGGGGCGATGTCCTTGGGCAGCTGTCCATCTCGTGGATGTGAACTCAGAGCCTTGTGCAGATAGACGTTCCGGAAAACACCACCTCATCAGCCCTGATGGTCTTTGAGTCATTCCCAAGGGTTTGATGACTAACATCCTATAAGGGATGCTTTGTGTCAGGCTTTGTGCATCCCCTTTACACATTAGTTTATTTCCCACCACAACTCAACGGGTCCAGCTTTATTCTCCACATTGGATAGGTGCATGAGCCCTTTGCCTAAGGTGCGTGGCTAGAAAGTGCTCACGGAAGGTTTTGTTATGGGGGGAGGAGGTGTCCTTTTTTTTTTTTTTAATGCTGTACAGACTTTTTAAAAAAATGTTTTTATTGATTTTTAGAGAGAAAGAAAGGGAGAGGGATAGAGAAGTAGAAAACATCAGTGATGGAAGAAAATTATTGATTGGCTGCCTCCTGCACTGGGGGATCAAGCCCAAAGCATGATCTCTTGGTTCATAGCTTGACATTCAACCACACCAGCTGGGCTATCGATCTTTTTAAGTAAGAATACCTGAAGATAGTAATAACTTTTAAAAATAATTTAAAAAAATATATTTCTTTATTGATTTCAGAGAGGAAGGGAGAAGGAGAGAGAGATAGAAACATCAATAATGAGAGAGAAACATTGATTGGCTGCCTCCTGCATGCCCCCGATTGGGGATCGAACCCGCAACCCAGGCATGTGCCCTTGGCCAGAATCGAACCTGGGACCCTTCAGTCCGCAGGCTGATACTCTATCCACTGAGCCAAGCCACTAGGGCAATAATTTTTTACTTAATTATATTAAAGGGCTTAGAAAATAAATACTATTGTATTTCAGAAGTTGAGGTTTCCATTAGCAATTTGTTAAGAATGTTAGCTGACCTGCTGTCTGACTTACATGGGGACACTGGTCTTTGTCCCCATATAAGTCAGTAAGGGGACATATCCCAGGTCAGCAAGAGCTTTTGTCCGTCTCTCCTTGGGGCCTCCTCTCTCTGCTTTATTTCGGGGTACTTGGTCACCCTGCGCCCCCAGCTTTCTGATGACGTCAGTGAAACTACTGGTTTTGCTGACTAGTTGTTTTTCTTGTAAGGATAGGCTTTTTAAAGATATAGGATCTTTTTGCAGTTCTTTTATTTTCTTGTGATTTATTTGCTGAAGAAACAGTCTAGGAGAAGCAGTCTGGATTTTCCTAATGGTGTCTCTTTTGTATCCTCTGAATTCCCTGTAAATTGGCAGTTTGGTTATTCATGGTTTTTTTTCTTTTCATTTAACTGTTTAGTTTTAGAGTCCAGAGTACTAACCATATCACAGAGAATGAACTGTTTAGTTTTCAATAACTTTAGACTTCTAGAGAATTTGCTAAAATAGAACAAAGTTCCTATTTACACTTTACTCAGATTGTGAATAAACCATAGTGTAATCATTAAAACCAAGAAAATGATACAATTGATAAAAAAAAAATGACATAATACTATGAACTTAGAGACGTCATTTACATTTTTAAAAAAATATATTTTATTGATTTTACATAGAGAGGGAGAGTTAGAAACGTCGATGAGAGAGAAACATCGACTGCTGCCTCTTGCACACCCCCCACTGGGGATGTGCCCACAACCAAGGTACGTGCCCTTGACCGGAATCGAACCTGGGACCTTTCAGTCCCCAGGCCGACGCTCTATCCACTGAGCCAAACCGGTTTCGGCCGTCATTTACATTTTGCAAGTTTTCCCACTAATGTTTTTTCTGGTCCAGGCTGTTAAGTTTCATTTCTGTGACAAATTCTTTCTTTCTGTTGTAACTTTTAAGCTTTTGAAGAGTACTGGTCAGCTATTTTGTAGGGTCTCCCTCAGTATGGGTTTGTGTGCTGTTTTGTCTGAGTGGATCAAGTTTTCACATCTGCCACAAGAAGACCACAGCAGTGATATTGAACCTTTATCCATTTGAATAAATGCCTCTACTATTGGTCTTCTGGGTGGTTTTATTGCTGCTAAACCAAAAGTGTTTTCAGCGTACGTTTCTTTCATGCCTTTTTTTAGATTCCAAAATGAACCTGAATGATTTTATCAGTATGGACCCCAAGGTAGGCTGGGGAGCTGTGTACTCGCTGTCTGAATTTGTCCATCGATTTGGCAGTCAAAGCTACTGAACCGACGTCCGGATGTAGAGCCATGGAGCAGTGCGGGGACACGAACAGTCCACTGCCTGGTACATTTGGTTTGCAACTGTGATTTTTTCTTTTAATTCATTTCACTTGAAAAGTGAGTGAACAAAAACAGAAAAACTGTTGTTTTTTTCATGTGTCAGGTTAAAACGTGATGGTAGTGTATATTTGCCAAGATAGTCCCATCGGGCTCATTTGTTAAACCATGTGATGATGTACGCCAGTAATTGCTTTCTGGTGATAGAGTTAGACTTTGTGTCTGTTCTGGATGTTTCGTTCTTCTCCAGCTACACTGTAAGCTCCTGGTGGGCAGGGCTGTGTGGCTCACTGCACAGTGGGTATCTAATACCCATACAAGTGGCCAGATGATGTCTCTGATTGTGTGGCTGCTTGAAGCGGGCTGATCCTGGGAGCTGAGTCAGCAGTAAGTATTAGTCTTTTTGGACTACTAAGTTCTTTAAAAAGATTACAACTTGCTCAGGTTTGATTGTAGTTTGGCCTATTTGTATGTGTGTTTTTTTAAAAAAATAAAATTTATTTAAAATTAATTTTGATATTAAAGATGTGTCATTTTTGATATCCTGAGAGATGCCAAAGAATATTCTTAGTTGTAGATGTGAACTATGGTTTTAAATTACACTTATCAATCTTCCTTCTTGAAGATGTGTTAGAAATTTGGCTTCATCATAGAATTCCAAATAAAAGATGTTTGGCGTTAACCCAGCATAGAGTGACAGCCCTCATTCATATTTTCGTGATTCTCCTGTAAAAAATAGGTAATTTCTTATAGCAAGGATACCCAAGCTTTTGATTTTATTTTATTTTATTTTATTTATTTTTTTTTTTTTTTTTAAATATATTTTATTGATTTTGTACAGAGAGGAAGGGAGAGAGATAGAAAGCTAGAAACATCGATGAGAGAGAGTCATCGATCAGCTGCCTCTTGCACACCCCCTACTGGGGATATGCCCGCAACCAAGGTACATGCCCTTGACCGGAATCGAACCCGGGTCCCTTCAGTCCCCAAGCCGACGCTCTATCCATTGAGCCAAACCGGTCTCGGCCCAAGCTTTTGATTTTAAATGAGTTTTCTGCTTATTAAAAAACTTTAATCCTATCTAATAAAGAGGGAATATGCTAATTGACCATCACTCCATCACAAAGATGGCTGTACCCACAGCTAAGGCCAAATTCCCATCAGGAGCCTTAACAAGCAATCAGCAGGGACCTGAAACTACTCCCTCCCCCATGGGGCTTGACAGGGGACCTCAGGTTGCTCCCCCCACCCGGCAGGGCTTGACATGGGACCTGAGGCCATGCCCCCCAACCAGTGGGGCTTGATAGGGGATCTCAGGCTGTGTCCCCCATCTGGCTGGCTTGATGGAGGACCTCCAGGCATGCCCCCCGGTCTGGGTTAGGGGACCTCACGCCATGCCCTCTGTCCTGGCGCCGGGCCAGGGACCTGAGGCTATGCCCCCTGCCCAGCAGGGTTTGACAAGGGTGGGATGGCCGGGTCTGGATCTAGCCCAATTGTGTGGGGAAATGGCCAGGTCTGGGTCTCATGCAAGTTTGAGGTGCATGTTGGTGGGTGGGGACTTGACTCTGGGTCCTGTGGTGTGTCCCAGACTCTAATAGTTGGGAGGTTTTCATATACATTTTTACTAATTTTCTTTCATTTTTGACACTTCTATTATAGAGAAAGGGCAAATAACAATATTATTTCCTTTAATTAATCCCCTTTTAATGTGCACGAATTTTGTGCACTGGGTCATTAGTTTACTATAAACTTCCTGCCTTGTGCTGTGGAAGGACAAGTGAAATCATTTACTCAAGGATCAACCAATCTAAGGAAATACCAGGTATCCATGGGGTTCAGCTGACCTGGAAGCTTCTGGGAGAAAGGGATGAATGTTTGTAAGAGAAATGCAAATACAACCTCTTAAGTTACTTTATAATTTAGAGCTAAATATAGACCTCAAACTTGTATATCTTGTTGACCTTTAAATGTGGCTAAAGGAAGAAGATAAAATTTGGCAGGCTGCACCATGGAAATACTTGGTCCTGAACGAAATGTTTTCAGAGGGACCAAAGGATGGTCATCTGACTTACAAGTTGCCTTTTTTTCTTTTTTCTAGAGTATAAGCAGGTTTTCTCTGTGGTATTTAAAGTTATGTCTAGAGCAGACAAACCAGTGTGTGTGTGGTAGTTTGACCTTCTTTGCTACCTTGCCTTGAAGTTGAAAAACCCTGTCTCCTAACCAGGGTAGAAGCAAAGTTTATCATTTTAAGCCTATTAAAATATCCAAGGGCCATAGTCTTAACTTGTGAGTAGCAATAGAGGACATTTATTGCTGCTTCTTTTTAAAAATATATTTTTTATTGATTTTTTTTTTTTTTTTTTTTTTTTTTTTTTTACAGAGAGAATATAGAAAGTTCGAAACATCAATGAGAGAGAAATATCAATCAGCTGCCTCCTGCACACTTCCTGCTGGGGATGTGCCCACAACCAAGGTACATGCCCTTGACCGGAATTGAACCTGGGACCCATGAGTCCGCAGGCCAGTGCTCTCTCCTCTGAGCCAAACCAGCTAGGGCTATTGCTTCTTTTTATTTAGCACTCCTGCAGTGCCCCTTGGGGAATCCCTCTGCACATTTCATGTCGTTCTGGGGCCTATGGGTAAAGGCACAGAGCCTAACCCGGGCCAGGCTTGGAACACATCCTTGGACAAGTCTAAGAATGACCTGGTACAGTCTTCTCCAGATTTGCTGTGTTGAATTCAGAGAGAGACATTCTCTCTCCATCAGGATTGCTAAGCTAGGGACCAGGGGGGTTCGGGATTCTATGGGCATCTTGCTGCCGTAGACAAGGGCCTAGCCTCAGAGTGCAATCCAGCAGTACTGAGAGCAGAGCCATAGTTCCAAGGACCTTTCTGAGTGCCCGGATCTGTCCGTGTTTCAAGCCAGGTCCAGCTATTAAGCTATCCAGTGACATAAACATGTGGGGTCCCTTTTCTCTTCAGTGTGTGTGAATTGGATCACAGTCAGTTTGAACTGAAAGGTGGGTTGGTTTCCTTACGAGATTTTTCTACAAAGTTGTTTATTTTATCGGGCTTAGGAACTTTTACATTTGTCTTTCTGTGCTTAATTTTTCTCTGAGGTCAGATTTGTTTCTTTTTATATTCAACATACATGAGTGAACTGAATAAATACTGCCTGCAAAGAGGAACTCTCAAGAAAGCAGGAGGCTGAAATACAATGTGTATGTTGGCTATGAAAATAAGATAAATAAAGTATATGTGAACATCTGACATACAGTGGAACAGGGATGCAAATATAGAAATATAAAGTGCTTCCCTAGTCAGCTCTATTTCTTTTTTTCTTTTTTAAAATATATTTTATTGACTTTTTACAGAGAGGAAAGGAGAGAGAGATAGAGAGCTAGAAACATCGATGAGAGAGAAACATCGACCAGCTGCCTCCTGCACACCCCCCACTGGGGATGTGCCCGCAACCAAGGTACATGCCCTCGACCGGAATCGAACCCGGGATCTTTCATTCCGCAGACCAATGCTCTACCACTGAGCCAAACTGGTTTTGGCCTGACTATTTCTGAATGAAGACATTGCCATGATTTTTAAGAAAGATTATGCCTTTCAGAAGAGGGATTGGTTAGGATGAAAATAATGACAAACTCCTTAGTGTATGTGGTTGTGGTTTTTCTCCATTTAATTTCTTAAAATATTTTTGTTGATTTCAGAGAGAGGAAAGGAGAGGGAGAGAAACATCAATGACGAAAATCTTTGATTGGCTGCCCCCTGCATATCCCCCACTGGGATCGAGCCTGCAATCCGGTCATGGCCCTGACTGGGTATCGAACCTTGACTGGGTGCATGGGTTGACAATCACTGAGCCATATGGGTCAGGGTAATTTTTATTTAATTACTTGGAAAATAGATGGTACATACACATTGTACAAATTCAAATGTATAAAAGGGTGTATGGTGAAAAGTAAACTTCCCTCTACTTTGTCCTTCAATTTTCTGCTATTAAGAAACAACTTCTGTTTTCAGTTTCATTTATATTGTACCAGGAGTTCTATTATGCCCATGTAAGCATTTTTTATTCTATACCAAGTTCTGTTTTTTTATTCTCCCCCAAATGGTAACATAAATTGTTCTGAATTTTACTTTTTAAAGTTAGTATGTTGGGTATTTTTCTAATCAGTACATGCTGAATTTCCTCATTCTTTAAAAACATTATATAGTATTCTGTGGTATGCAGGTCCTTCATTTAACAGTCCTTTCTTTATAAGTTGTTTTTAGCCTTTTGATATGGCATGAAATGCTTCAAAGGATATTTTTGTTCTTGTCTTTTTTTTTTTATTAACAATTTCATTTTTAGTGTATACACACACACACACACACACACACACACACACACACACACACACTAGAGGCCTGGTGCATGAAATCATGTGCTGGAGGGGTGTTCCTCAGCTCAGCCAGCACCCTCTCCAATCTGGGACCCCTCAGGGGGTCGGGCCTAAACTGGCAGTTGGACATCCCTCTCACAATCCGGGACTGCTGGCTCCTAACCACTTGCCTGCCTGGATGCCTGATTGCCCTTAACCACTCCCTTGCCAGCCTGATTGATACATAACTGCTCCCCTGTCAGCCCGATCACTCCCAACTGCCCTCCCTTGCAGACCTGGTGCCCCCGCTACTGCCCTCCCCTGCAGGCCTGGTTGCCCCAAACTGTCCTTTTTTGAAGGCCTGGTCCCCTCCAACTGCCCTCCCCTGTCATCTTGTGACAATGTGGGGGCAGCCTTCTTATAACAATGGGGGGGCAGCCATTTTGTGACAATGTGGAGATGGCCATCTTTTGATGATGGGTGGCCATCTTGGGATGTGAAGGTGTGAGGGTCAATTTGCATATCACCTCTTTATTATATAGGATTTATTGGTTTCAGATAGGGAGGGAGAAGGG